GCAAAGCTATTAACATGATTGGAACCTATATAAACGAGTGGTTGCTCAAACTAGCAACTACTCATTTCGCTGTTTACTTTGGGATTTTATTAAGGGAGTGAAGGTCCAAACAATATACACTCCTCCTCATATATAAGCTGGCAGCGCTAATTTTGACTGTTTAAGCTTTTATTATTATTTTAATGATTATTATTTTAAAGCATTTTGAGACCAACATCCACATAGTGCGAAATAAACTTTGCCCACAAGATGTCCTCATATCAAGATATTATGTCTCATAATTTGGGCTTTACAGTGAGAATTTAAATCTAGAAACGCCCCAATTCCCTCAAAGTGCCCCATTCAGTTTAGAACAATGTGAATGTGGACGTCCTACGTCATCTTCATTATATTGGCCTGAAATGCAGAGCACACAAACTGGGCTCAGCCAACACAGGAGGAGGAGATAATGAAGGGAAACTCAAATGTTATGCTGGAGTTATGTTCTCATTCCAGCCTTTACCGAGGCTGGGGCCTGAGCCAACGAGACCTGTGGTGTAACAGTGTACTTGTCTCTCAAATTGTATCACTCAATAGAGCTGCCATCTGGCCAGTCTCAGAGGTGCAGAAAGACAGTGATCCAAAATAGCAGCAGCAATAGGAAAAGGTCAGACATTGAGTAAAGGCATCTGTTAAATTACCCTCTCTTGGCATCGCAGTGGCACACTGACAGATTTAGTGTATACCTCTGATGTCTTTTCTATACAGGGGAGGAGTATGATTTGGCCACAAATGAGTTCTAGTTTTAATGCCTGTAATAATAATGACATTAAGGCCTGTATCCTCTAAATGAGGAACCCGGTACGTGTCCTTGATATGTAAAATAATTGAGAGGAACATTGTGAAATTGGCTCTTTAAAAAGATTTGATTTGGAATCGAGCCAGCGCGCCAAGGCCACAAATAGCATGAGATAAATCTACTGATGCACGCTTTCCTGCGTCACAAATCCTCATGATTACCCCAGTCGTCCGTGTTGTGTGTGAATGATTTGCTGGGGCTTGATCAGCGGCTCAGTCATTCCAAAATAGATCCATCCCAACCTCTTGCCACGAAGGCACGCTCGGGCTTGAAAACGCTGATCTATGGTACTGCAGCAGGAATTGACCCTCATCGGATAAACCGCTCCAAATTGCCTCCCTGATATATGGCTGGCCCTTGTTACCGCTCTCCCCTTGTCAATTTTCCCCCGTTCCCTTCAAGGTCGGCTCTCCGTGCTGTTGGCCAAAGTAGCAGAACAGCTCTCCTCTTACTGCCTGGCCCACCTCGCATCCAGCTCTCCAGCTCTCCAGCCCTCCAGCCATCCAGCTCTCCACCGCTATGCCCCCACGCTTCATTCACACATCAGACACCCGAGTGACTACAGCCTCCTCCCTGCAGAACAGCTGGGGTTAAAGCAACATGCAGACAACAGAGGATGGCCTCAGGTTTGAGGGCGTAGAAATACAATTAAAGCTTAAAGGCATTCAACCACCTCTGGAACGCACACACGTTTTAATCATAAAATGGAAAGTCACAAAATAAATCTACTGGTTTATGTCCTATGCCAGTGTGTCATGTAGGGCCGATATGCTGCATAAATAATATTACACTTTTGTGTGTGAATGAAAACAAGGGCGTGTGTTATTGCTTTTGAGTTTGGTAAGACGGAGAGTGTCATTAATTCTCCTTTTGTTTTAGAATGATTCATGTTAAAGCCAGAATGTGTTGTTATTGTTCATGTATACAAAAGACGACAATTTCACTCTGGTGAGAAAATGAGGAGGAAACAAAACTCAAAAGGGACTTTGTTGCCCTGAGTCGTCGATTGGAGGAGTCCTTGCCTCGTTTCCTAAAAGGCTTCTTCATCAAACAATCGCTGTGATGACGAAACATGCACGGCCATAAATACTTTATCCATAGGTACTTTATCTATACTTCATCCCTAGGTACTTTATCTCTAGGTACTTCATCCCTAGGTACTTCATCTCTAGGTACTTAATCCCTAGGTACTTCATCTCTAGGTACTTCATCTCTAGGTACTTCATCTCTAGGTACTTCATCCCTAGGTACTTCATCTCTAGGTACTTCATCCCTAGGTACTTGGAAACCAGGAGTATTTGCTGTGTGAAAAAACTTAAGCACTAGACTGTGTCCCCACAGTGTCAGATTAACTTATTTTTACTTAACATAACATATTATTTTCTTCTCCAGGCTAATCTGTGTGCTTTGTGAGTGTGTGTGTGTGTGTGTGTGTGTGTGTGTGTGTGTGTGTGTGTGTGTGTGTGTGTGTGTGTGTGTGTGTGTGTGTGTGTGTGTGTGTGTGTGTGTGTGTGTGTGTGCGTGTTTTAGATTAGATGAAAATCAAAATATTTTTAGATTAGTTTAATTGGTAATGGCCCCCTTTGGAAAAAATGTCATCTTTGAGGTGCAGAAAATCATTTTTAGATAAGACTGGAGAGAGAAAAGATGATGTTAAAGATAATGTAAAAAAAATAAACTCAACCAAAAGAAGAAAAACAAATACTTACTAAACAAGGATGAAAAGGGCCTTTGCTCAAAATCTCGATTATTTTGAACTATTGCTGTTACGGAGGAATGATTTTATGCACCAGGGACACATGCAACCTACATGCAAAATGGTTTTACATTATTCTGGGCAATGAAAAAAACATTTTTAAACGTTTTCGTGTGTGAAAACATGTTAGAAACATGAGGAAACACTGCATGGAACTGTTTTAACGAGAAGATTAAGTTGAAACTGTAGGTATACTAATACCCTTACATTTCATAAAAGGACATCAAACATGATAGAAAGTCCTCTGCTAGAGATATAAGAGAGGAAAAAACAATCCAGATGAAGGGAGAGCCCCTGCAGCGTTAATGACCGGAAGTCTGGACAACGGATATCTGACAGCACAGAATGTCTGACACAAGGGAAGGAGGCTTGTAAACAAAGGATCAAAAGAAAACTTCTGTGATCGAGTTATTTATCAGGAAACCCTTTTAGAGTTGTGGCTTCCGATCCTTTCGCTCTTTGTGGCGCTCATTGTTGTGTGTCACTGCGCGCCATGTGTATCTTAAAAGCTGCGGGAACACGTTAACCTGTGTTCTGACGTGCAACAAAACTTTCAAAGTCTCAAATGCTCGGCTCCTCGGCTCCTCGGCTGCCTGGCGATGTTCCACAGCAGAAAATGTCTCCGTCCTAACAGACATAAAGCCGGGCAGCGTTGAGGCGAGTGCGTGTTTCAGCTGGAAGGGCAATAAATGCCTTTAGAAACACGGCAGCGGATGTGAGCTCTCTTGTCACTGCAGCCACTGACCGAAACAGACATTTTCGTATTTGTTTGTGCCATTACACTGACCCCTAATGACCCCCGTTCTTTGTCCTGTTTCACCAAACCAGGATCTACGCAACTTTCGTCTGCACCAACCATGCTGGGGCAAAAGGTAACGGCCGCTGACTGCCGACCTGTGAGTTCTGTGGGCCAAGGTGCAATTACATTTAGTACATGGGAAGGTGGAGGCAGTGCAACGTTCATCGGGTTCCTGGTTACACTAAAGTGTGTGGTTGTTTTTTTAATATAACCAACCATAAGGGACCTGCTCTTAATTTATGGCAGGTAGAATATATTTAATAATATCTGAGCAATAGAGGAGGTACGTGCAGTGCACTTGATGTGACGGGGATTACAGCACCAAGCATTGCTGTTGAAATCAGGTCAGCTCCGGTATTGAACAAAGAACACTGGTGGAGTTTGAGGACTGTGAATGTCCTCTTGTGATTGAGAACGTATGCCAGTAAACGCAGCTTATTATACTCTATAGGCGCTGTGTTTCACAAAGCTGACCTGGTCAGTTTTAATCCTGCTGACGATGCGACTAGTTTAGTGCTAACCACCGATCTGCACACTGAACCAGCACTCAGAGCAACGAGATGGAAAATCTAATACATGTAATGTAAAAAATATTCATATTTATTTCAAAAGCAGGAGGATGATTCTTCAACTTTCTCGGCTTCAGTCATCACTCTCCAACGTGCCCACAACAGCAATATACCAATTTATTAACTACATCAGTAGTTAAGGTCACCACCACCTCCCTCACTATTGATCTGAGTGTGCTTTATTCTTATACTAGTAACCGGTTGGCTAACTTGAAGAAATACGATTTAGTGCACAGCATGCTAGCTAAATGTTATTATTCTCAGTATGTGGAGATATGAAGCATTTAGCATGTTGGCATGCTTTCTTTTTGTTGTTGTTGCAAAGTGTAAAGAGCTGTTAAAGCTGATACATCACTCAGGTCCAAAAATGAGAAGTTAGAGATTTGGGGAAAAGCTGCATTTTTAATTACGCAATGTTGGTTGGGAGTTGCAGATTCCATGAATACATGCCTCTATGTAAGTGTGAGTTTGAGTGATTGCACATATGTCATTCCCAAATTCTATTACCATTCTTCACACTCTGCAGTTGTGAATACAGCCCAGGAAGAAACACTCATCTGGAGGTGCCGCTCCACGGCCTCCTCTATTCGAGGAGCAGTTCAAGCACCTTGGAACGCAATAAAACATGCAACAAAGAGAAATGTTTCTACGGAGTCAAGAGTTTAGAGGGCAGATTCAATAATCTGTGTACCAAAGCCTTTCCTTTCCCAAGCCCTCGTCCACTCATTTATAGCACCTGGGGGAGTTGTGGGAGAAAGGCCTAAAGACTGAAAGGTTCCGAAAGCTTTCATTCAGGTGGATGAGGTTAACAATGTCTGTTGTTTGGTTGAAACGTGTTTCTTACAGGCGCCATATTTGTTAGAATATCGCTGATAAATCAACTGATGCAGGAAATCAGTGTCTCAGAAAGCACGTTATCTCGTGGAGCGCAGACACTATTCGATATCCTCTCAGGCCACACGCGCTGTTCTCTTAGCTGGCCTGTGTGCATGACAGAGGGGTGGAGGAAGTATCGCGGGGGCACGGCACTAAGCCTCCCACTGCCAATAAGAACGTGACTGACCTCAACATTTAGCAACATAGTGTCCAGATCGTCCAGGCTGCTTGATCCGGGCGCCGAAACAAACTCAACCTTTCCAGCTTCCCTCAGCAAGTCACGTTTGGGCGAGGTTTGGGATCGAGGTGCCGCCGGGGACTTTTGGGCTGTCACAGCGGATATAGACCCACGGACGGCGGCTGGAGTATCTGTGAAACATATGCAGCGGTTATTTTTCATTTCATACATATTCAGAGAGGCTCAGTCCCATTCGATGACGTCCGCGGTGTCTTAACGTGCCTCCGAGACAGAGCTCATCGGGCCCAGCTGGAGAGCTCCTGCCAAGGTAAGACACTTGACAGACAGACACTATGGAGTTTGAACGTATTACGTCTCTTGAGAGTAATTGCCTGGGTAAATAAGCCATTTTCAGTTGGATATCAGTTAGCATATGTTGTTTTGTCAGTGTTCCAACAATACAGTTCCCAAAATGAGTGTGCGATTTCCCAGAGCAAATATTTAACACGCTCCCCTCATCTATAATTAATCAGAGAAATTCACCAAGTCTAATAAGCCGTATTAGGAACCTGGGGTCATGAAAGACCCCGAGTCTGGCTGCAAGGAGAATGAATGAAAAAGTTTTCGCTAGAAGCACAAACACCAAACCAAATATGTAAAATGACACATCTATTCAACTGTATTGTGTTGTGTTTCTATTCGGCCGTAACATCTATTCTGACTGCTTAATTCAGTGTAATACACTATCAATGCAAACAAGAATTACATCTGAGTAAATCGAGATGGTGTGGGGAAGTTGGGGCCTTGAATGCACCGCATGCATGATGTTTCTGTCCGTTGCTTGACGCGGCTGTACACCAGCTAATGATGGTCCTCAAGCCAAGCAACAGGGTGCCAGCGCCGGGTGTTGAACAGTGACCCGTGTTAGTCGCCTAATTTGAAGGAACATTGTTTGTCTTTTCAGTAACACTAGCTTTTCCGTCTCTATCGGCCTCCGCTGAGCCGACCCTGCTTTGTCAAGTGGCACTTTGGCTGATTATTTTAGATCTTTACAATGCGATGGGGGTAGCGTTGAGGCTCGGCCCATTTCTCTACTTATTTCATTCTCCGATACCTGGCTTAAATGAATCAACCCTGCAATTTTCACTCAATTATTTGATGCCTTTCTCTCCATTTTGGAGCCAAGCAATCAATCCTTAGTGTGAAATTATCCGGTTTATTCATTACTCCTGCGGTTTTGATGCTTTATCTGAAGTCCTGTCGGTCTCAACTCCCTCCTCTATTCATCACCTGAAGTCAACCACTGAATTTTTCATTTTTTAGAATTGCAGCTCTGCTGTCAGTAAAAAACATTTTCCAATTCTTTTCTATTTGGAAGGCCGCCGTGAATGTGTGTTGAACATTTCCAGACAATGAAAGTCTTGCACCTGACCTTTGATGTGCATGTGGAGACCCTCCATTTCCAGAGTGGGACACGTGACAGGTGTGAACAGAGGCAACATCCATGAACCCTCTTCATAAACTCATATGTATTTCTTAATGTTGTCTTAGGACAGTCGTTTTTATGCTAAGCTAGGCGAGCAACCCAGGCAAGTACTTGACACATTGACAGCAACCTTCTCCGAGCAGATTTCAGCACAGTTCACCGCTTCGCCTGGAAGCTTCTAGTGCAGTTAGTACTTGTTGTCTTTCAAATCTGGAGGCTGCGACATTATTATGTTACGTCAACTGTCCGAATAATTTAACTCCTCATGGGTGATGGCGTTGAAGTAAAACCCTGGAACATTTTTAATGTCATTTATTACACTCAATTGACTGCCAACTAATTATTCTAAGATCTGGTATAAATACATAAAAGACTTATTTCACCTCCATTAGCAATTGCATGTGTAGAATACGGCGGGGGCCACATTTACAGCTGCAAAGCAGCGGCTAGAAATCCCTGCTCAATAAAAAGAGTTCTTCGGCACATTAAATATTCACTACTCGCTGCACACAACTGGCTTACCCAATACGTTTTCAGGGCACCGAACCAGTTCATCAACCAAATCAAGTCCTCCTCGGCGGAGGAACCCTATATCATCACCCACTCCTTAGCGTAGCCCTCAGCTATTCAACGGCGCGAATTCATCCCGGGTCCAAGGTTGTGATCGATGTTTTCTCTGCGTAGTCTCCCCTGTGTAAACGATACAGTAAGTTGTTTGACTCTTCGAATGCTCTCTTATTCATCACCTCTTAAGTGAGACTGTGGGACCGCAGCGGGTGGGAGCTCAGTAAATACATGCATGGAACAACTCAAAGCCAAGCGAGGCCTTAAACAGCCTCCTTAATCTTAAACTCTCTTATCGAGGTGAAAAAATATAATGAGACAAATCTGATCCCTCTCCAAAAACGCATGAAGGCAGCAGCAAAGCATACGTACTTAGATGTGATTATAGGTCCGTAGAGTGTTGTTTTGCACATGTTGAGGGTGAATTTATGAAGTAAAACAAGTTTAGTTTGTTCAGTAAGTGCTGAGGATGATGCACTCAGGTCAGTTGGAATGAGGCAGATAAAAAAGATCAAACATAGACAAAAGTCGGCTTGGATGTTTTCTACATGGGAGGTGAAATATTTTTAAAGGAGGCCAAACAACGTGACATGCGGGGGCTGAGAAGATCAAAATGTACCTACAATTGAAGAAGAATCTAAGGCTGGACACAGTTACACTTCTACGCAGAAAGAATTTTGTGATTCTTGGCAGTGATCTCATTTCGTTGTCTCTTCTCCTCAGCTTTGACCGCAGCAACGCTGAAGAGCTTTGTATCATTGTATCGTCATCATCAGATTTGTACAATCAGGAATCAGATAACATTTGAAAACATAAGAAAAAACTTCAACAACAGTTAAACGTGTACGTTGTACTTGTACGACGTCATTAAACCACAACATGCACATCTTATAACTCTTTAAAGATTTAGGGGGAAATAACTTAAGTGAGGATTTGTTGAACTTTGAAAATAGTTCAAGTGGGCACCACAGACTACAGCTGCGATACTTTTCTACCAGCGTGGAAAAGGTCACGGTCAGGGTCCGTCGGCACGTAGGAGTCACCCAAAAAGAGCTCTGGTTATACAAGCAAACAACAGTACTAACAAACCGTCGCTACCGATGGTACCTCGGCTTTTAATGACAGTGAATCGCAGAAAGGTACACGGTAAACCCACTGGGTCAAAGAACCTTTAGCGTTTTAACATCAGACAGACTTGTGGCTTTTAGTAGGGCAGTGGGTTAGTAGTCTTAGTATAAAAAGGCTTGAGCTTGCTTATTTGTGGGATAGTTATTGTTGTTTCCCAAACGTCAAGGCCACAAAGCCTTTAACCGAAGTTATGTCCTTGGCTGTTTTGTTTTCTCCTGAACAGATCCTCCGATCTGTTAAAACGTGTTGAAAGTGAAGAAGAGCTTTGTGCGCGTAAATGGCGCCCGCCGTCGGTGGTCCTCAAGGCTACACGCCACCCGAGGGTGGCTGGGGATGGATGGTGGTGCTCGGGGCGTTCATCTCTATTGGCTTCTCCTACGCCTTCCCCAAGTCCATCACCGTCTTCTTCAAAGAGATTGAGACGATCTTCGATGTGACCAGCAGCCAGGTGTCCTGGATCTCTTCCATCATGTTGGCGTGCATGTACGGCGGAGGTGAGCTACGACCCAAAAAGCAACCTGTCAAACATTGCTTAACACTTGACATTGGGCAGGTGGAGGTGATTTATAGATGGAGTCAGCCTCTGGCTCTTTGCACAACTTGTAAAAGATTTACCTCTGGAGTGTTGAAAGAAGAATGATCCATTGCTCAAATACAAACTTGCTTTGTAGCCCTTCAGCCTCAGTCTGTCCACAAAGAGGTTCTCAAAATTAAAAAAATCTAACATGTCATACTGAGATAGCTCAGCAATGTAACTCCTGTATAGAACGTTTGTTGGCAAAAGTGCAACGTGTCTCTGGAACCACTTATTGTTTTTCCCACTGGAGGTCTGGTTGTGTTCCTGCACTGACGAGGGGAACTGTCAGGTGACTGACACCCTCTATTCATGTTGATATTCAACACGGAGGGAACCGACTTCAAAGGATTCCCTCTCGTCCCTCAAGACACTGAAATCAAACCATTGCACTTCTCCTCTCTCGTGATCAACAGGGGACGAAATGATGACTTGGGCATCTTTTTTAATCTTAGGGAAGTCTCTAGAAAGTTGCTTTAGTGTGCCAAATTGATGCAAAGTGGAAAGTATTACACCTTATGAAACTACTTTATATCAGTTTTTCTAAAATATTTACAAGATCTGCAAGCAATACAAGACAAGTGGAAATGGTATTTTACTAGCAGCATTGCATCATTTTGAACATATTGCCCTTTCTTTTTCTTTTGCTATGTGACAAAAGCCAGGGAAAGTTGCAGGTTACAGTATTGCAAGTCGAAGGCGAACAAAACTTATTGGAGATAAGCCCACATGGAACTACGCCAAAAACAATAAATTATTGATCGGGGGATTAAAGATCACAAAGTTGCGCTGTGAGGTCGATTGTTCTTCATTTGTTTGATCATCTTCCAGTCTGTGATGTTCAATGGGAATATTTATCAGCTTGGGTGAGTTTACTTACTTTCAAAGGCGGTAAAAGTGAGATATGCACCCATTCTGACCAGTTATGAGTGACGCTGGAATAGACATGCAAATTCAGGTTTCACGTTGTTAATTAATTCAAATGTTTAGATGTAAATATACACGGATGAAAGCAAGCTATGCATGGTAATTGACAGTTAAGTGGTGAAATGTTTGTCCATGCGGTGAGCAGATGACAGCCGAGCCCGTTATCGTACGTTAAACATTCCGTGCACATCAGGAGGAGAAGTTCATTAACAACCTACAGTCGCGCACCTCTCTACTCCTTCAATGTTTGATTCATTACATTCATAATATTCTACATTGGTTCGTCTCCCACCTTTTTATCTCGAGCAACTCTGCCCTGCAGGGCGGAAGGAAAGAACTCATTGTTAGAGTGCAGACTGGCTGCATTACAATTTAAAAACCTTTTGTCTTGCACCGTGCTGGCAAATGAGTCTGGACAACCTCTAAACAAAAACTGTCAGTTTCTATTTGGGTTCATTGGGAAGTGCGGGGATTTGGCAGGAAGGCAGAAGTGTCTTCCGTGCGGGTCCTCATACTCATTTAGGCCGCTTGTTATCAGCCCAGGATGGAGATGGTGTTTTGCGACATGAACCCGCTGCACATTTTATTCATTTGTTCACAAGTCATATATATTTTCCTGAATTGAAGTTGAATTAATGGTGCATGCATTTTAAAAACTTGATTTACTGTTTCCTTATTCCATCACTTTTTTTTCAAACTAATGCACTAGGTGATACCTCATAAGAAACCCTTCCCCACACATACATGCACACTTTCCTTCACCCCCCCAAATCGAACTAACACACACACAGACACTTATACACTCAGCCACTCATCTAAACTGAGGTTCTCCCAATAATCATTTCAAATGGGTTTAGAGGCCATTTAGGAAGAATCCACCAACAAATTATTCCTCAGTCAATTTTTATGAATCTCTGAAACAAATAAATGCTTATTTCATTAGCGGCGTCATGGTTTTTCTGACACATCGCATTATTTATGGCACTTGAACACATCTGCTGCAGTGCAGCACTGACAAAAATGATTGCAGAAGTTCTTTGAGTTTTATGAGCCTCAGCTTTGGCACTAGAGCCCTCTGGTGGTTGAAATAAATACAGTTTAGTTTTTAATATCAGTGCTTTTGCTTTTCAGGTCCAATCAGCAGCATCCTGGTGAACAAATATGGTAGTCGTCCTGTGATGATAGCGGGAGGATGCCTGTCTGGATCGGGCCTCATTGCTGCCTCTTTCTGCAATTCTGTTCATGCACTGTACATTTGCATTGGTGTGGTGGGAGGTACCTAATTTAACTTTCTATATTTATAGGTTTGGTCACAAGTCACATTATTTCTTTCTTTTTATATATATATATATATATATATAGTTTTTTTTTTACTGCACACTGTTGCCATCTAGTGTTTTTCAAAAGTAAAAAACCCCAAACTGTTTAAACTGCTCAAATCCATTTAATTTCAACTTATATTTACAGACGTCAAATACACTTACTTTTTTATTGATCATTTTAGGTTTGGGATTGGCTTTCAACCTGAACCCTGCCCTCACCATGATTGGAAAGTACTTCTACAACAAGCGGCCCATTGCTAATGGAATCGCTATGGCCGGCAGCCCCGTCTTCTTGTCCACCATGGCTCCCATAAACACCTGGCTTTTTGAAAAGTTCGGCTGGAGAGGAAGTTTCTTGATCCTGGGCGGCCTGCTGTTCAATTGCTGCGTCGCTGGTTCCCTAATGCGGCCCATAGGACCAAAACCCAAACCCGCAGAGAGGAGCACGGAGAGGAGGACGGCAGCGCAGCTCATCAACAGCTTCATCGACCTCTCTCTGTTCAAGCACCGCGGCTTTGTCCTCTACATCACTGGCAATATCGTCATGTTTTTTGGTCTCTTTGCGCCGCTGGTGTTCCTCAGTAATTTTGCCAAAAGTAAAGACATCCCAAAAGACAAGGCGGCTTTCTTACTGTCTGTGCTGGCTATTGTGGACATGGTTGCCCGGCCCTCAATGGGCATGGTGGCTAACACCAAGTGGGTCCGGCCTAGAATACAGTACTTCTTCGCGGCCTCGGTGCTGTACAACGGTGTTTGCCACGTTCTGGCACCATTATCGGTCGACTACAAAGGCTTCGTGATTTATGCCATGTTCTTCGGGTTCGCTTTCGGCTGGCTGAGCTCAGTGCTGTTTGAGACCCTGATGGACCTGGTGGGCACCCAGCGCTTCTCCAGCGCCGTCGGGCTGGTCACCATTGTGGAGTGTGGCCCCGTGTTGTTAGGACCCCCTCTGCTTGGTGAGTACATTTGAACATCGAAGTTCACCGTCACCAATTGTTATCCATTTCTGCGTCTGAGCGGTGGATCATCCGAGGTGGCTCTTTTCTCTTCACAGGAAGGTTCAAAGACGTGTATCATGATTACAAGTACACGTACCAGGGCTGCGGCATACTCCTCATCATCTCCAGTGTCATCCTGTTTGCGGGGATGGGGCTCAACTATCGCCTGCTGGCCAAGGAGAAAAAAGAGGAGGAAAGTAAGGCCAGAGTGGGAAGTAGAGAGCAAAGGTCCTACAGGGACTTTGCTACCAAGAAGGTGGCCGAGGCGGGGAGCACAGAAGACACTGTCTGATATTCTGCTCCAAGTTAATTGACATTTTTGTTTAATTAAATATTTTCAGCGAGGCATTTATAAGAAAAAAAACGTATTTTCAGCCCTCTTCTGTTTTACAATGAATTTTTGAAGACCACCGGCGAAAGCCTGTTCTGAAATTTCCTGTAAAACATTTACGCACCTATTAAAGCCCTTTAAGTCCAATGAAAGAACCACATGAAATACCTCTGATGGTGGAACTGTTGTATATGTTGGAAAGACTATCTAGGTTTGCGTTTTATGTCACTTATACTGATGATTAATCTCAGATGTTATTACTATAACTTACCTGCAGCACACAATTTTTGGTATTTTAACCTTCTAAAATGTACCTCAGGTTATTACATTTTATATTAAGAGATATGCAAAGTTCAGTATTCAATTAAACGTGTTAAAGAAATTGCTACGTGCATGATTATAGTATTCACCTCATCAAGCTTGCCGCACTGTCAAAGACATTTAGAAAAGAACTAGACCGTGTGTGGTGTAAAGAGGTTTGAAAACATCTGCGCCTCTTTCCCTAAACATATTTTCATAATAATTCTCTATTTCTCTTTCAAATGTGTGTTGTTTGGTTCATTTGTGATGATGAATGATGGGAATTATTTCTAATTGTGGGCAATAAACCTCTTTCTATCACTTTATGTATTTGCATTATTTCAAATGTGCCACCGACTGCAAGTACATGAACAGGGAAGAAAGTCAGATGAATGTCATTCAACATTACATTACATTACATGTTGTTTTAGCTCATGCTTTTATCCAAAGCGACTTAAAAATAAGTTCATTTCAACCATAAGGATACAAACCCAGAAGAACAAGAAAGCGCAATTTCATCAAATAAGCCAATTTACAACTTGCTATAGATAAGATACATTGTAAGTACAATTTTAGTGCTACAATTTGTTCAGTGTTTTTTAGACATGAAACAAAGGTAGTCTGTATTCAATGTTTCTCGTCCTTTTTACTATGGTTCTTGTAACACACATAGCATTATGCCAATAACCGTTATTAAATCAACGAGTTGGAAGAATAATTATATACAGTGTTATATTGGGTTATCGGCATCAGTTAGTGGGTTCATCAAAGTATGTTGTTACATTATAAAACAACCACAGTAAAGATAAACAAATAACTTAAAGTAGGCTTAATAGAATAGTGGCTCGACATGAATAACTGACGTTAAAAAAAAAAATATATATATATATATATATATATATATATATATACGTCTGATAGGTCTGTTGTTCTGTAGGCAGTTGAGCGTACTATTGACTACAATCCGTATCCAGGTAGCTAACGTTAGTTTAATGTTCTATTCCGTCGTAAAATAAACCGTTAACATAACGTCATCATTAACTGCCACCGGACAATTGTTGCACGCGCCGCGGCCATTAGTCGTTAGCTAACGGCCCTAATTAACGTTACGTCAGCAAATGCCGTGAACTGACCAACGTTAGCTGGCCGGTATAAGACAGATATTTTGCATTATATCGTAGGAATTACTGAAGGTAAGTGAGGTAAACGAAGATTAGCTAGAAAATCTTAACGTTCAATAAATTATGTCAAGTTAACGAAAGAATGTTAGCTAATAGCAACGTTAATTCTAATGTTTCATTTGATTAACGTTAGCAACAAGCTAACGCTAACATTAGTTAAGTAACGTTATAGCTTAACGTTAGTAACGTTATAGCTTAACGTTAGCTGACCAACGGATCAACGTTAGACTTATTGTAAGTCGCTTCGGATGAAAGCGTCCAAATGACATGTAATGAAATGTAATTATCGTTATTTTCCCGTCAAAATACGTCCGTCGTGATAAAGCTCGTTAAATTACCACGTGACGTCACTTTACGTTGGATAATATAAACTCTATTGCTCCTTTCAGGATGGAGAGAGACCGCCGATTCAACTTCAAACTGGTGGTACCTTCCAGGGGGAATAGTGGACAGGTATCTGCGGTTCGACCGCAGGACATCGTTGCGAACTGCGCTGATGTCCTGAATCCATCGCAGCAGGTAAATTCATTAGCCGGTAGTTAGCCGCCAGTTAACACGAATGGAGACCACCAAGGTAAAATTCCCCGACCCGATGCTAGCTCAGCCATGACAGTCTTTCAGCATGAGTAAAACAACTGTTTTTGTCTGGAAGTCTTCTACAAACCGTAATCTATCTGTTCTTGGATGCACTGTTATCCTTGTAGTCAGCTGAATGTAACGTTAACATTGCTAATGAATACAGGCAGCTGTTTTAAGAGGCAGTAATCCTTACGAGATCCTTAATGTTACTTAGCATAATTGCTGTTTTGCCCCTAGGGGAACAGTAAAGGTTCCGCAAAAGAGCAGAGCATGCCTTTCTCCACGAAAAGTATGGTTGCACCAACTAAAGCAACTAGACCAGGTATGTCCTACTAAACAATGAGTTGGCCGGTATCACAAAACCTGATTGGACCTCACAAAGCACAAGGCAGATTATTGTCTCTGCTCCATAGAACTCCCCAGGATGAAAGTTCTGCTACCAATGGAAAAAGGCGAGGTGATATTTCATTGAACAAAAATGTGAATGGGATAGATTTAGACTATTTCGAATGACTTCCCATCATTGTAAATATTCCGCAGGATAATTGCAGTCCCGGGCAGCTGTATAGCAAGCTGTTTGATGAGATTGATAAGATTAAGTTTTGGAAGGTTAAAGTTGACTCTGACAATGTGCAAAATGAAAGGAAACATCAAGAAAACAAAAGAACAATTGAAACTCAGCGCAAAGCCATTCAAGAACTGCAGGTGTGTATCCTTATCATCCTTATCCGTATGTCATTCTCTCTCTCACCACATTTTTTATTTTCTTGTTCAAAGGATTATTGAAAAAAGAGTAACGGCACACTTCCTTTGTCTTTACAGTTTGGAAATGAAAGTCTCAGTGTGAAGCTGGAGGAACAAATCAGTGAAAATGAGGATTTGAGGAACAAGTAGGTGTTTAGTTTGGGAATATCATGAGATTAGACATGCTCTGCACAGGCCAAATAAACTTGATAATTCAATTTGTAGACGTAGACATTTTTTGTTTAACACACTTTTTTAATACAGAAACAATGCCACAAGGAATCTGTGTAATATCCTCAAAAGTACTTTCCAGCGGTCAGCTGAGAAAATGGATTTATGTAAGTAAAATGCTCCTCATTTTTCTAGTTAAGTGTCTTAACCAGCAGTATTATTATAGTGTTTAAAATAAGGATATATTGTTGTATAAAACATCTTTACATTTTCTAGTTGAATCCGAAAGAGAAGAAACACATAACCTCTATATGGAAAATAGTGAGAGTATTCAGGTAAAAAACCCTTTAGTTTATTGTTTTATGATAACTTGTTGGACACAATTCAGTAAAACATTCTGACTTTAGGTTTGACGGTCAGTTCACGTGTAACCTATTCTCCTCAGAAAATGATTGCAGAATTTGAAAGCCTTCGTATTCAAGCAGAAGCTGATCAACAAGAGACACAGAAAGGTTTTTACTCCAGAATATTTGAATTATTCAGGGATAACTTAACGGATGTAAGATAAAAGATCAATAACATGACAAATTAACCATTTTTTATTTTTCCAGTCAAAGAGGCTTTGCTGCAATTTGAAGATCTCAAGGAAAAATATGATCAAGAATATAATGTGAAAGAGAAAAAGGTCAGTTAAGACAAACTATTTTCAGATCAGTTTGTTTATGATGTTTTGAATCAAACTTCTCAAGGAGTCACACTCACATTCGCAGGTTGCTCTGCTTCAAACAAAAATAAAGGAGAAGGAGAATGAACTCGAAAAACTGCTTCTTGACCTCAATAAAACCCAGAAGCACTGCAAACAACTTCAAGAGGCAACAAGTAAGGTCGTAGTTGGATTTCCTGATTAGCTGTGTATTCTTAGTTTTGTGAACATTGTTATGATTTTACCAAAACAAAGAAACACCATTCAATGTTTTGTCTGCAACAAATTGAATAAAATTCCCAGCAGGTGTAGTACAGACGGTTCAAATGTTCAACGACGCATTAGGTTTATGTAAAGATAATAGTTCATAGATAATAAAGAGTTCAATCCTTACTATAATATATGTGTGTTAGTACAAGTACACTTCATTAATTGAAGGATCACTAGAGAAAGTTACCGATGATGTTATCATCAAATACTTACTGACTTTACAGATGAACAAAATGAACTTCTAAAAAGTTCAAAACGGGAACAAGAATCTCTTCTTCAAAGGCTGAACGCTGCAGAGCAGCACTGCAAGGAAACAGAGGTAAGTGTTGAGATACTAATTACCAGTGAAACTGCAGTTTAGAGCATTATCTGCTTTGATTAAAAATGCGTCCTAACCCTCAGACAAACCGTGAAGCTATTGCTGCAACACTGGCCCGAAGCAGAGAAGAACTTGACTCAAGCTTGCAAGAGCTCACTAGAGTTAAAAATCAGCAAGCAGACAAGCTGGAGGAGATTCAGACGGCCATGCAGGAGCTACAGAACTCACTAGCATTAGAGATTCAGAGGTAGAAATGACTCATGTAAATTCAGACTGTTTTTCTGACCAAATACAGTTTTCCCTCTTACGATTTTGTTCCATTTGTGGACCATTTTAAAGGACCAAGGAACTCAAGGATAATCTTATGGCAAACAACGAAGAACTTGAAAGAACAAACACACTTTTAGGTAAACCTCACTGAGTGAAGTAAGTAGATGTTTTTATTTGATTCTCTATTAAGCTAAAAAGAAGCGGTTTTACTCAACAGGAAAGAGCGTAGACGAGTGTGCAGAGAAGGATGGGCATATCAATATCCTGAAAGATGAAATGGTAGGGGAGATTTGAATGCATTCTTTGTTTTTGTACCAGTCATCGTCGTTCAAAAACCAAGCCTGTGTTGTTCTTAGGATAACCGATCCAAACGGGTTGAGTCCATGAAGGAACAGATGCAAATCACTGAACTCAGAGCGGAGGAACTTGCAGCTGAGCTGTCTAGAAAAACTGAAGAAGTCCAACTATTTCAGGTGATACCAATAAGTTCCTCATCTCAGAAGGAAGAGTTCTGTTTATAACATAGTCAAACACAGATACCAAGCAATGTAAGCCCTAGATAAGCTTTTTTGTTATTAAAGAGGGAAGCAGAGATCGAGAAAAACGAACAGGAACGACTGAAGAGGACTTGTGAAGCTGCTGAAAATGCACAGGAGGATTTAAAGAAGAAGGTCACAGTGACAGAGGTTTTCACAGGGTTTACTTCTCATCCGCTTTTATTCACAGTTAAGACTTTAAAAAAAAGAGATGTTATTAGAATGGAAAAATGTGATCTTGTGTAAATACACACTACTGTGCTTCTGCACATTATGTTCTTGTTTATTCTCAAGATCAAAGTGCAAGACCTTGAGGAACTGTTGAATACTGAAATGGAGAAGAATAAAGAACAAACACTTCAGATGGAGCAACTGAGGAAGGACTTCACGCAGGAAAAGTGAGTTTCTAAGAGCCAGCCCCTCCACAATATCAGCATATCAAAAAGTGTATATATTTTTATTTATTTCCAGATTTAGGAGTCCATTTAAAAACATTGAGCTGTATTAATCTTAATTGCTTATATGTCCTTCATGTCTTTTTTAAGGTTAAAGTACACAAAGTTATCATCTACATTTAATGAGCTGCAGCGTGAGAAGAGAACCTTTCAACAGCAGTTTGAGAGTGGATCCTCGAATGTGAAAGCTGTTGAGGCAAAGATGAAGGTCTGAATATTATCCATTCAAATGTGATCATTGTCTTGTGTAGAGTGTTTGCATTAGGTGTCCCTTTGTAATTTTTTATGGCTGGCTGTCATTTGCATAACACATGCTGAACGCTGTTTTGACTGATCAGGTGAGTGAGGAGAAGGTGGTGAAGCTCACCAAAGAAACTCAAAGACTGGAAGAAGAAAACCAACGTTTACGGTGAGTTTTGAACTGTAGAGATATAAAGAGGTTTGGCATATGTATTTTTCAAGGTTAATATTTCTGTATTTCTATCCAATAGAGAGCAAGTAAACTCCATCAAAAACAAAACTCAAGGGATATATCAGGAATTGGAGACTTTGCAGAAGAAATTTGATGAAAATGTAACTATACAAACTAAACCATTTATCAACAGTGACACAATGCCTCATTGTGATGCCTGGTATGAAAGTATGTAATGAGTATTTCTATGTGATTTTTGTGTATAGTGTGAACATCTGCAAGAGGAAATGACAGGAAAAGACAATCGGATCAAATCTGTGGAATCAAAGGTTATTGAAAAGCTGAAATGCGAAATGCTTTTTATTATCCATCATTTTGTGGAAATAAGAACTTGTTTGGTTTTCAGCTGTGTAATCTCCGGAAAAAAATTGAGACTAAACTTAAAGCCCAGGAGGGATTCCAGAAAGAGGTTTGTGATCATAAAACTACAGATTAAAAATACATGCAATGGTGTTGTGTATTACGCTAACAGTGGAATTGTATATTTCAGAATAAAATGCTTCAGAAACAATTAGTAAAGGAAAATGCAAAATCCAGTCAACTTCAAATTGAGGTATGTTTTTTTCTTTAATCTTCCAGTATGTAGCATACTTTGCATTATAATGAAACATTTAGAATGATCAGTACAGCCCTCTATGATGTAAATGGTTGTTTTTGTCTTCAGATCATTGCTCTTCAGGAGGAATCTCAAAACCTTAAACAACTGAACGAAGACCATGAGATATTGCGTAGGGATCTTGAGTCTAAATCGTCCTCTGTAGCAGAGCTTGAGAAGGAGGTGGCTAATATGATATCATATTTATCGCATTTTGAGTTGCTCACAATACACAATTACCACGTCCCCTTCCTTACAGCTACAAAAGGTCAGATTAGCAGCAGTGGACGCCATCAAGATCAAGGAAGATGCAGAACTCAAGTGCCAACACAAGATCGCAGATATGGTTGCACTGATGGATAAACACAAGGTACGGTCTTATGAAATGAATGTTTTGTCGTGTGAAGATATTCTTTTCCAGCAGAATCAATGTTGCATTGGAAGGACTTTGACTTTGCTTTAATAGAGCCAGTACGATCGTATCATTGAAGAAAAGGATGCAGAGCTTGATGAGAAGAAGAGAAAAGAGAAGGAGGCGGCTGCATTTAGGGAATCTCTGGTATGTCGCTGAAAAATTACGTTTATTTGCACATACAAAAATTGAATTATTGGCCAAACAAGTCAAACATTTTTTCTGAGAATCAGGAGTTGGACCTCACAAAGCACAAGGCAGATAATAATCAGCTGAAGCAACAGCTGGAGAAAGAAAGAACGAAGAAGGTACGTCACAGTTTGAATCATTTTGGGGGTTTTTTCACTGCAACACGTTGTTTGAGAAACACTTTTCTATTTGTTTATCTATTGCTATTAACAAAAAATGTAGACGGAGCTAAGTGACTTGAAGAAAATAATATCGTCTACAAAGATCCCTCAACTGTCAGAAGCAAAGAACAAGCAGGTAGAGCAACTCATAGGCCTTTCTAACGGATTGACATGGTTTGTCATTACATGCAATTAACCACAGAAAAATATCCTTCAATCTCCAGTCACCTGCCTCAGAACGTAAACAAAGGAGATGCTCAAAGGCAAACGACAGCCCTCAGAAAAGACACACGTTTGACTTCTCCCAGTCGAGGAGAACTCCCTCCTACGCTGACGCCGATGGACGAACTGCACTGAAGAAGAAGGCTGTGAGTTTAATCATAAGACTTTTACACAGATTGTCGAGTGTTTTGATGTGTGTGCATGTTCATGTGTCGGAGGACCAATCATCAAAACGCAGTGTGAATAAGTCACTAGAGGTTATGACTGAGCGATGGCCCTGTTGCTAAGCGATGCATCACGCTACAATAACATTCAATGTCTTCTGTGTTTAAGCAATCTCACACCGAATCCATCAGAACATCTTGTGGAGCAACCCCAAAGACCAAGGTAGAGAACAGTTTACGAAGGAGGATGATAAAGATCATTATGACATGACAGTTTACTTTTGTAGCATTCATAATCATAAAACTCAAACTGACACCGGCTTTGTATGGAAGGAAATTCACGCAGAAGACCTGAAAACCCTTAAAAACGTAGCAAAAGGACTCGGTGGAACTTCAAAGATTAAAGTAATTATTTGACTTTTTCCAAAATGAATCAAAATATGAATCCCTTGCTAATATTTCCTCTTTGGATTCCTTTCTAGTCGTACAGAATAATGACGCCTCCTTCGGCTGAGAAGGGAGCGCGCTGGGGGACGAGCACCATGGAGCTGGATTTCAAGTCAGACAGCTCTGATCAAACCGATCTTCTGGTGAGTTCTTCTATTATCGGATGCGTGGTTCCTTTATCAGGAGAAAATACACAAAGTGACATGTCACATCATTAGAGCTGATTTGGCCTTTTCTCTCTCTGTCTCTCTGGCAGACCTTTGCGAGTACACCAGCACCCAACTTCTCTTCCAGTCATCAATGCAAACGTAACATCGTCGACAAGGTAACATCCTTCACCAAAATGGAGGCGGCAGAAAGAATCCCCGGTGGTTTGTGTTTGAAAGAATTAGGTGAACATTGTTTTTCAGATTCAATCACCGGGGAACTCCTTGAAGTTTGCTGCCATAAAAAGAATGAGAGACGCTGGTTGGACCGCTGTGACCGGCAGGGACAAGAAGAAGAAGACGACCAGTGAGAATATCTTTGCATAAAAAGTGCTGTTACAGGTTCTCATTTTCATTTTTTTTAACTTTGTTATCTTTTCAAATAGACAGTATTGATGATAGTAGAATGACATTTAATTTCATTACATGCATAGAAATGATTTGGTTCAGTTAAACGGTATTGTTGACAACAGAAAGATTTAGGTGTTTGTATTCAAACCACGTTATAAAGTTTGCGTTTTGCAGAGTTTTGCAGGGGATTTAAGTAGCAGTAGAGTTTTTTTGTAGCTTTTATCTTAACTGGTGTTCATTTACAATCCCATCTGCACAAGTTGATATTGTTGGTGTCGGAAATGGTTTATTTACGTGTTGCTAACCTAACACATCCAAAATGGTGATAGAAATCAAATAAATGTTCCTTTTGACCTGCATTGTCTTTGTGTGAATGTTCTGCCCTCAGCCTCTCATGAAGAATTTAGATTTCACAGTGAGTGAAGGGTCCTGAAATTGCACTAATTAGTGGAAGAGGAGAAGCAGCCAAAAGGTCAAAGTTCAAACCATGGCACCTCCTTATTAAAGGAACTGGAGCCGAAATTGCGACTGGTCTGCTGGGACTGGTGGCACGTTGTCGTATATTGGATGGCCGTCGTAAAGTCCTCCAGAAATCACAAGTGTGTCATCGTCGGCTGCAAATTCATCTGCAGAAAAGGACATTTTTAGCTGCTTAATGAAAGATGAAGTAGTATTTGCTGGTCGTATTGTCAGGGGGGGAGTTGGGGAGGGGGGTGGTCCTTACCCGCGTCACCAGTGCTGTTTAGAGGTTGATGCAGGTATTGGATCCTATGTTTGCATTTATGAAATATGAACACAACCACCGCCAGGCCCAGCGCCCCGAGCACACTGCTGAAGGCGATAGTCATACTCATCTCGGAAATGTTCAGTCTGAGCCCTTGCAACAGAAAAAAACAAAGCAAAATGAGTTCAATATTGAGTTCCGTTGCGCAACTGAATCACTGATAAGACGGATTCTCACCCTTTGTGGTTCTGCCCGTTGAGTCTGTCGATGATGAGTCTGTCGGTGATGAACCTGTCGGTGATGAACCTGTCGGTGATGAACCTGTCGGTGATGAACCTGTCGATGATGAACCTGTCGATGATGAATCTGCGGTTGCCGTACTCGCTGCTGTGCTCGTGTGACCTGTCGCGGTCTGCGCGGTCGACGTGGTCGCAGCAGGAGGTGGAGGAGTCGTGGTTGTCAACATGGACGTGCCGTTCGAAGTCCGCGGATGGCCCGTGCTCTCGGGTGGAGCCGCGGTAGTTGTAGCGAGCGTTCCCCCGTCCCGGGTCGTGCTGCTAAACGCAATGGAGTTCGAGACGTCGGCTGCCTGTCCGGTGGAGTTGGTTGGTGTCAGTGTGGACGTGTGCGTCCTGTTGAAATCGGGGGTTGTCATTGCCGACGTGACGGCCGTTTTCTCCTCGTCTTTTTGCGCCGCCGCAAAGGAAAAGGCCAGAAGGTAACAGGCCAGGGTAACGATGGCGGTATCCATGGCCATTCTCTTCTATACAGGGAGACAAAACATAAACTCTCTGTTACATGTCTCCCTTGTCTCAGTGACACTCGCAGTGAGAACAACACCCCAAAGGTCGTGTTTGGCCTTTCACTAGTAGGCCATGTGCGTCACACAAACAGAGCTGCTGCAGGAGGAAATAACTGCGTTCACGCCGCGCTGATCTTCTGTCATGCCGCTCGCGTGAGAGCTTGACGGAGTCGAAGCTTTGAATAGGAGGTGAAAGACGGATCTGGCTCACCTTGTTTTTGTTGGTATGAAAAACTGAAACTCTTTTTTGCTTCCCTGGCAGCGAGCTGGCTCCCGTTGTCGCCGCCGACTCTCCACTTCCTGTAAAGCCAGTGTGGATTTACTGGCAAAGAGGCAGGTAAAAGTGGGCAGGTCACTTCTTTCTCCACTTCCTCTATTGTAGGTTTCCAAGGAGACAAATGACCCGGCTCTTACCGGGACCAAAGCTCAGTCTCTCCCTCCCTTTCTCGCTCAAGTTCAAATAGATTATACAGCCCTGGGGGGGAATACAGAGTGTGCTGATTACACTACATCTATTGTTCTTTGGCTTCGCTGTCTTGTTTTCCGTCTCACAAACAGATCATAAAACACCCGCAGGAGTTTTCTCTGCCGTGTGTGTGTGTGTACGGGTGAATTAAATCAACACGGTTGGACTTAGTACAAAAGGTTTATTAACTAAGTATAATTTGTGAAGAATTCATACAGGTAGTTCTTAAAGATTGCACAATTTCCAGGCATAAAAAGTAGGCGTTACACAGAAAGTCAAAAACAAATGGCCACTGTTGCTTCAGCACAAGAAAACACTTGGCACAGATTGTTATATTGTGACTATGATGAAATAAAGGAGGATTGTTAGTAATACACTGAAGATAAAGATAGCAAGTGGAACAATTGAACAAAGAGCAAACGAGTCAAGTTGCGCTTTGCTAAACAGGAAAAAGGGTCAGCTCAGCAAAACCTTGTGTTATTACAAAAGGCGCTCCTTGTAAGGTATCAAATGTATCTTAAGCTGGTCTGTGATCAAGTACTTATTACAGACTAATCATCAAACAGGAGCCTTAAGTACACACAGGGTGAAAGGGGACGGAGTGTTCCGTCTCCCTCAGAGGAGTAACTGCAAAAGTAACTGGAGCAGTGGGGTAACATGAATAGGACAGCTTGTGTATTTTTTCCACTTGATGTTTTTGTATTTCCATCACAGTTTGGTGGCCTTTTCTGCATCTTTACTCATCGGGTCAAAGTCTTTGAATGTGGAGTTGTCAGCGTTCAAGTGAATGTCTGTTGCGGCTTTCTCTGGGATGTCGGAAGCCTGCAGAGAACAAACCATTAACAACATGACAACGTCTACATATCTACATGTAACATATGCTTACTTATCAGTTATCTATCAAAAGGGTCATTTTCCCACCTCTGATTCACTGGAAGAGCTGAAGCAGATGAAGTCGCTCATCCTCACAAACAGTTCCGGGTTCATTTTTTCTTGCTTGCATCCACCTAAAGAGAGACCAGAGACGTATTCTCACAACGGTTCCACAGTAGATTTACATCACGGGTGTCTTCGGTGGAAGTAAAGGAAGGAATCAAATGCCTCACCTGTGATCATGCTCACCAGCAGGCCACACACAACGGTGGTCAGGGTACCCAAGAGAGAGAAGTACAGGTAGGACAGAGAGTACCAGGAGTCGGCCAGAGGAGGCCTCACACTGACACACAAACAAGAAATCATCGTCAAACAAGAAGTCATCGTCCTGCAAGAAAACGCTGCAAACCCCTCTCTCCATGGGAAAAGCCTTGCCTCTGAGAGCAGTCCCGCCTCGGTCTATTCGTTTCCACTCTTAAAAGTGTCTACTTTTCAGAAGGGAAGTGACTCACTCGGGCAGCGAGGTCGGGGGCGCTGCACTGGTCCACGGCGCGCTCGTCGTGTAGTTTTGGCCCATCGTGTTGTTGCAGCCCGCGATGCTGATGTTGAGAGGAATTGTCATGTCAGCCGTTGGTGGGAAAATCTGGCCTCCGATCCCCACCCACAGAGTCAACAGCAGACCCAGGGTCATCCCCACAAGCCCGCCCTGCAAAGTAAACACGGCCGCCGGCAAATACCTCCTGAATGCATTCACGGTTCTTGTATTAGGGCGCGAAAGCAAAAAGGTGGACCTTACCGTGGAATTGGACGTGCGGAACAGCATGCCCAACAGGTAGAGGCCGAGCAGAGGCCCGCTGATCATGCCGAAGATGGACAGAGCCGCCTGAGGAGCGAAAAGCGTCAGGGCGGCCTGTAGTTGTTAATATCCAGCTGCAGGAGGCGCTGTGCAGCAACGACAGACTGCAGCGCTCCCTTTAAAACGGTGGTTACCTGCAGAACGCTTCCCATCACCGAGGCGATTCCCGCCATCCCGATACACAGGGCGCCGAAGAACACGCCTGGGGGAGGTCGACATCCGCACGATCAACCCGCACGTTTAATCACAAATGTTCAGGGCATGCGGCCGGTTGGCAGGACTTTAAAACACGTTTCATACATATTTAAATGTTGCACGGTAACATGGTGACTAGGATGTGGACTGATGGGAGCCGTTAAACAAACATACAACTTGCTTATGTTTTCAATATTATGTACTCATTTTATATTCTCAGTATTTTGGAGTCATTTGACTGCTTCAGCTCAATAAATGTCACCAAACAAAGAGAAGACACATGTGTTTTATGTTGTTTTGACTGATATTTACGGCACTATCACATGCGGTTTAAGAATCTTAAGGACCCTAACTGTTCCTTCAGATAGTATAAACATCATTTATATAATATGAACACCAATCAAAGCGGAGAAACGCCTTCTCAAAGCGGGTGCAGCCTGTGATTCACAGCCCTTCTATGGCTGGAACACGCAGGCTATACTGGGAAACGTCATGTGGGGAAACCTAAAGAGGCCTTTCTGCCCCTCACCATGGCAACATCATCCTCATGTGTTGACATGAGGTGTAATTACAAAGGCTGCTTTAATAGCTGTGTGTCTACCGTGTCATTTTTAGAACAATATAAACTTGTCGGATAACATAATGGAGCTGCGCCCTTGATTTTTAACATCGCCAAAGAGGTTTTCTCAGAACCGACATGATCCTGTTCCCGTGGATGACTGTGCTTTGAGTCACTGTTTGTACTTTTGTGAAATCTGCTCCAAGAAATTCTTCAGAAACACCGATTTCCTTTTGTAGTCGTGGCTAATGGTGTCATGGCCCTTGCAGGGGAACGAGAAGCTCAACTACCTCTGGAATAACAAGATAACGTATCTCTTTTGTACCACGATTACTGTGGTATTCATCAACAGAATGTACAGTGAGCTTGTTAATCAATGAAATAGGGAGAAGTATTTGGAATTCCGGCTCACTGTGTTTTGTTTTCTTTTAACTTACTCAGGCCCATGTTCATCCAGGTCACCTGCTTCTCTGTGAGGTTTTTGCATACTGGAAGAATAAAGTCTTCCACGGTGACGGCAACCAGGGCGTTGATGCTGGAAGACACCGTGCTGAAAACAGACGTTAAGTCTTCAGACAGGACAGGAAGGATGATGCGTTCAAACGACGAATCGTGGCTCGCAAGATAAGATCTGTCTGCACGCGGACGATAAGCGGCGCGGACTTTTAAGAAGTAACGTAACCCGGGCTGTGCCCCCCCATCCCCCCCCCCCCCCGGGCCATTTCTCTCTTTCCCATTGTGCCTTTTCTGCTAGATGATTTCCTCACAAACACAGGTTAAAATAGTGTATTTTCCTTGTTGGCCTCAGGTCTCACCTGAGGGTGCCGCTGTACGCAGCGGCCACCAACAAGCCGGGGATCCCGGGGTAGTCCGACAAAATGTCCATCACCAGGTAAGGCAGCAGCTGGTGTGCAAGCAGAGGCGACCCACAACCTTATGACACATGCAAACCGACTGACGCTTGTGTGCTAGCGATGATGACGGCGAGCAGTCCCACCTGGTCGTGGGTGCCTATGTCCCCGTTGGCCAGGGGGTCACAGTCCTTGTAGATGGAGAACATGGTGAGGCCCGAAAACACAGCTAGACTCACAGTTAGCCACAGGCCCACCAGGTTGACGTACAGAGACCTGAGGGACAGAGAGAAGACGCGTGGGCTCGGGGGGGGGGCCCGCGGCGACACAGGCCCGCGGGCCCACAGTCGGCGTTGCGAGCGCTCACATCTTGGCGTGTCCCAGGGTCTTGCAGGAGATGTAGCGCTGCACCTGCGACTGGTTGATGGAGTAGATCGACACCCACATGACGCTGCCGCCGACCACAATGGTCCAGAAGGTGTGGCGCCTCCGAGGATCTGGGTCGAAACTGAAGAAAGCCAAGCGACATGTGTTTAATGCTCGGGGGACGTCTGGAAGAGTGGAATTACGCTTTCATTTATCTGATGGACGATTTAGAAACAAAGCAGAGAGAAATCTGACACAAGTCGGCCTGCGCGCATACTCGAAGGCGTCCAGTCGGCCTCCTCGGCCGGCGTCTTCCCAGATCTTCGTCAGGCCTCCCTGCAGCACAGCTCCTCTGGCTATGACGGCCACAAAGCCCGCCAGCATGATGACCATCTGTATCACGTCCGTCCAGATCACGGCTTTCAGACCGCCCTGCAACAAAAATCCACGTTACAGCCAGCTCATCATTTACCACTACTACTTCTGCAGAGGGTTTCCAATTCCAAAAATACATTTTAAATAAATTTAACATTACTATGATGGTCATGTGATATGATTAAGAACAGTTTGGAATACACATAAATCCGCGCTTGGAGTTTCAGTCTATGTTGGTATATATTATGGACACTTCAACCCTTTGGTATGCGGATCGTTTATTTAAGGCGACACAATACCGACCAAAGTGCAGTAGATGATGCACACGGCTCCTGTAGCCACCAGCACTCCCCAGAGATTGAGTCCTGTGACTGTAATCACAAAAAAGCTCCGTTTTGATTTCAAAATAAACCTAATGAGACATAACGACGGGTGACAGTGTTTGTAACTTCAAGCCAAAGTCTCCACTACCTCTCTTGTTTTTTACATTGCTGTTAAGTTTTAAGAAATAAGCTGGTAGCTCTGGGAGACTATGGTGTCATAAAAGTCGTATTTATACACAGTTGCTTGTAAAGACTTACTTTGATTGAGTGCAAGAGCGGGAGCGTAGATGACCAAACCGGTGTAGAGGCTCTGAAAACCGACGCATTAGTTTATTAGGTGGAAACAAAACAAGCTTGTGATTCATGTTAATCTTGGTATCTACAATCAGTTTTACATAAAGTCAAACAGGCCGGCTTTTTACCAGGTTACATTTAAATGTTAATTACAGACGCTCGTTTCATTCTTTTTGTTCTTTTGGTTTTGTGCTTTTTAGGAGTTGAATATAAAAAGCGCGTGTTAGTCACCGTCTGCACGATGTACATGGAGGTCCCGATAACCCGGATGGGCCGGCTGAAGCGCAGCTCCAGGTACTAAGAGTGAGGGGAAAAACCATCCGACATTATTCAAATCTTTACGCACATCGGAGTTGTCCATCCGTCCACATCACACCAAATATGAAAAGCTGTTCATTTTTTGGGGTGTTTTTTCTGCATTTGGATTCAGTACAGCGTTTCACTTCTGATCTGATATACCGGACGCATCCTCGGCCCCGTTGTCCTCTGAAGGTCATGTATGTCCCTCAGCGCGCTCGCTCTGTTGACGTTTTGCCTTGGAAGGTACCTGCCGCCGCTCACCTCGTAGGCGCTGGTGATCCCCAGTCGGTAGAAGAGCGGCACAAAGATCTCGGCCGTGACCGCGGACATGATGGCGTAGGAGAAGCCGAAGAGCCAGAAGGCCGAACCGAAGCGGTAGGCCTCGGTGGGCGTGCCGATGACCGTGATGCCGGACATGAAGCTGGCGGTGAGCGACATGGCGACCGGCACGGCGGTCATCTGCCGTCCCCCCAGCAAGAACTCGGCGCTGCTGGTCTCCTTGCGGCCCCGGATGGCCTGGAAAAGGCCGATGCCCGCTGCCGCCAAAATGATGCCGGCGAACACCACGTAATCCCAGACGGAGAAAGTGGCCACTGGGCCACCTGAACCCGCCATGCTCAGCGCTCAGTTCTTCTACACGCGCCTGTATTACCTCCAGCTGTGCGTACACTAAAAGAGCAAAGACGCACACTAAAGACAGAGTGAAAAATGCTTTTTACCGCATCTCGGACTTGATATTAAAAATGTTTCCCCTACCAACCTTCAACAAAGTAAAGCGGGATCCAAAGAGTTGAGGATCTTAGTCCTCTGTCGTTTAGTCCAACTATGAGAGTCGCTGCAGAAGAATGAGACACTTTACCCGCTGAACAAACGGTGTCGTCGGCATTTCAGCTGACAATAAAGATTAGTTCACGTTGGTTAATAATCCATCAAGGGCACCTACACTAAGTCAGTGGAAACGTCAGCGATAGCGGAAAGCTCCAGCGCATTGTTTTTGAGAGACGCTTTGCCGTGTAGCTGTGTCCACTCTCATCTAGGAGGGGTCCATACATAACTCCAAGTTACTCAGTATCAATGTTGCATCGTGAGGAATTTTAGGGACGGCAGGTTAAACCTTTACGCCGGTCCCTTTGTGTCACATGGTTACAAGTTGCTTTTCTCAGCACAACAAAAAAAGCACCACATTTCAAACACCAGAAGACGAAGATATATATGAAGATGAAGAAATAGTACTTGTAGGCTGCTGATTGATCTCAGTACAGGGGATACTCATCTTGTATTATTATTATTAGATAGATTAGAGATTTTTATGAATGATTTTCCTGAAGTGACTCCGAAAGCTGAAACCAGCTGCTGTCAAATCTCAGGAAGTTCTTAATGTATAAGAAGACGTCTTAATATATGTGAAGGGGAGCAAGACCTGGGGAGAAGCAAGGAGCTCCTCAAATGGACAGAGAATGGTTTTACATTGTGATACTCCTTCTAAGAATTGTGGTTTTTCATTAATAGACTTGCAAAGAGAAGAAACTGACTGGAATGCCAACGTGCCTGTTGGAGTCTTGAATGAATTCAACGAAGACAATATTAGCAACTACATGCTGAACAATTCAGACGCAACGTATCAAAGAGACTGAGAGTACGCTCGACAATCATAAAACAATCCATAAAGATAAGGACGTCACTGCAGACTGCACAGAACGCTGCACCCCTCACTGCTTGTAATACACTCACTAAGAGCAGATTAGATGAACCCGTTCTGAATGTACCCGTGTTCATTACGAGTTTGGACTGTGACAGTTTGTAAACACTCTGTGCGCACGTTGCTATCTGGATTTGTAACCCTCAAAGCATCTTCGTGACAAGAGCAATGAGGAAGCGCTCTGAAGTGTTTTGTTGCTTTTCGTCCAGTTAATTTTTACCCGAATGAAAGATTGACAGATTAAGTTTGTTTTGGAAGATCACTCACAGGTTGATCTTTAACCTCTCCCCAATGTATGCGTGCAGGAAACTAATTCACAACTAATGAGCGGTGTTCATCTTTGCTTTGGACAGAACCAGATGCAGATTAGTTTTACCATCAGCTGCTGCACAATCCATTGTTTCAATCGGTTTACATGCATGGACTTTTTCCATGAAGGAAATCATTAATTCATGTCATCCACATAATGGACTTTCCTTTCTTCCTGTTGGTCACAGATAGAAGATCGCTGAGTACCGGTGGATTCTGTCATGTCTGCATAAATACTGGTCAGCAGGGATGTTGCTCAGACTCACCGCACCATCCAGCCTGCAGGCGCACGCATCTCCTGAGCAGGTGACCCACAAGATATGTTGAAGGAGCTTGCACTGTTCCTCCTCTCTGTTATCTGGTTTTCAGTGCGGCTCTTCTGTCCTCCCCTCACGTTTAGATCCTGGATCGATTGGGAGGTGAAAGCCATGGAGACTGCAGTGTTCCCCTGCTGGCTGCTGTTTCTGCTGCTCAGCCCAGCTGTTCCCACGTGTTTCCCCACGGACTTCACGATGTACGTGGAGAGGCCGGAGTGCGACTACTGTGTTGCGATCAACACGACCATCTGCATGGGATTCTGCTACTCCCGGGTACGTATACAGTGTGTCCTACATCGGTTCCTCCGCAGTTGGGTTTAACCATTAGTCGGCTAAAATGTGTAAAGTAAACCAACTTTGGACTCTTTCTTTTATTTTCAATGGAGAAAAAAAAACGCTTTTGTGTTTTCGTGGAACTGAAATGTCCTGTCGACACGGACGTGTTGGTCTCCAGGACAGCAACGTGAGGGCCATCGTGGGCCCACGTTTCCTCATCCAGACGGGCTGCAACTACGACAAGGTGGAGTACCGCGCAGCCTTGCTGCCCGGCTGCCCCATCGACTCGGACCCCGTCTTCAGCTACCCGGTGGCTCTCAGCTGCCGATGTGGGACCTGCAGGACCGACAGTGATGAGTGTGTGCACAGGGCGCCCGGCGTGGGCGGAGCAAGGTGCACCAAACCGGTTAGACGCATCTACCCGTACCCGGGCCAGAGCACCTACATGACCCCTTTCTGAGGGTCAGCCCTTAGCGTGTTGTGGATACGCTGATAACTGTCCTACTCATTGTACCAGCCTGTTTTTACCGTGTATTGTTGTGTGTGTGTGTGTGTGTGTGACTGCCATGCGTATTACGTTTTCTCTGACAGGGATACTCTGAATGCAACACAAATTAAAGCTGAACTCTTCAAATAGCTCTCGGACTAAGCTGTGCTTTACTTAATCACACGCCGTGCCGAGTTATGCTGAAGCTCTTCCGGTTCCCGAACACGAGGAAGGGCGTGACGCTCCACCACGTCACACACACACACACACACACACACACACACGGAAATTTTCCTCAGCAGTCACCGCCGAGCACACGTGACCGTCGACGCACCTGCTCTCATTAAAAGGCCACAAACATTAGACGCACGGGATGCAGGAGAGTCAACGAACGCGAGAAACGCGGCTCGACTTCATCTGTGGAGTCACTCCGTCTCATCCCGTGATGAGCTTGCGTGTGTTGCTTCCCATTCTCAAAGGGAATGTCGGGGAGACAGCTGGAGATTATTAATAGCACAACAGTTCAGAGAGGGAGAATGTGTCATGAGTTCAACATGAGTTCTGGGTGACATAATAATAATAATACTTGATCCTGTACAACCATCAGACTGCACAATGGTAAAACCCTGATGCCCAAATGGAAAAAACAGTGGATGAAACGGAATTCGCATCCATCAGCGGAATCAGCCGGCTCACATACCGATCGCTCTCTCATTCAGACAAACGTCACAGTTTGTCTGTGTTGTGTTTATTCATCCAGAAAAAATGCGAGATGTTTTTTTTTTTTCCCCCGTGGTATGAGGACGTCAATGTCTTTTGATTGGTCCGGTTGGTCCTTCCCACCGCTTGAGTCTAGACTGAAATATCTCAAAAACTACAGGGTGGATTAAGACACAGTTCAGTACAGCCGTTAATAGTCGGTTCATGATCCACAAACGTTTCCTCCAGGGCCTTTGGGTTGTTTGAGTTACATATACATCCAAACATCTGCCCGATGGATCGCTCCTGGTTCCCACGCTATTTGTTCTAATAACATTGTGATCCATTCCACTTCACTCTAGCACCACCCTGAGGTTCACTTCTGGGATTTTGCCATCAAACTCGAGAACTTCTGTGAAGCCTTATTGTCTCCGCCATATGTCCAGTACTTTGATGACCAAATGTCACCCAATGACTTGTTCCATTATTTGCAGCTCCAGCTCATGTTCACCGCTCATCGGCATGCTAAGATGCCAAACTGAGATGTGCCATTATTTAAATGTCAGACCAGCGGGGCAGCAAGGGAAGCCTGAATTGGCTGCACCTCGTAACTCTGCCTTGTTGCTGTTGTAACAAGTTGCTCAAGTTTCTCTTTAGCTTTAGATTACTTGATTTTACTACTTACCGTTTGGTAAAAAGACACTTTTACAAGAGCATGTAACTTTTATAATGCAGTAGAATGTAATAAAACAAGAGCTAGTAGTTATGTGAGTATATAAATGCTGTTCTTTCTACTGAGGCTACACCCACTGTAACACAACTTCAAGTGAAGATAAGAACAGCTGCCTGAGTGTGTTGAAATGAGTCTCTCCTCAGACTAAGAAGAAGAACCAGTTTATATCCCAACAAGAACACTCCTGCCTTTGTCATTTAAACGACCACTTCCCATTTCATACACCCATGTCTTTGTGCTCGCATGTAATTGAAACTCTTCAAATGACCAGATGGTCTGATAAAACATTGGAAATACCCCTTTTAGTACTTTAACTCGCTTCCTTTTGTTAGGGATTTCACCAAAGCAGCCAGTGCTGCTGCTCTTCCTTGTCAAAACCTCCTTTCTTTTGTCTCGTTTCCAGGCTGCTGAATACGCACACTGCTACAGCGCAAACGTACTTCATGCCTCACTCGAGGATGTCTTAAAAAAGGCGGACATGTGTTCAGCCTTGTCCTACCTCGTCGTAGCTGTCTGTCAGCGTGCGTCAGATTCGGTGTATTTGTACCATTACCCCACCCGAGAATGAAAGGAAGGAATTCGGCACAAATACTTACATTTAAGTCGGACCAGGATTTAAATAGTTTCATATGGCATTATTTGATCAGGCTACTAATGCATTACAACAGGTAGGAGAGGGGGCGATGTGTTGGACTGTTGCTTATACTAAACATACAATGTGTTTGGAAGGTAAGATATGAATCTTTAAAAGCACTAGCAACTAAGGCTTTCAGGTGGTGGAGGGAAAAAAAGGATTATGTCACTGTAGTGTAGCAGAAAAAGAAGACAAGCACTCTTACACCTCAGCATTGTTCCATAAAGCACTAGCACTTTCCACCCTTCATTAGCTGCATTAGGATGATGTCATTTCTCAACTTTACCAGAATGTTCTCTATAATCCATGATTTTAACCCTGGATTTACAATGGGACCTGGAATATTTTAATCTCAAAATCCGAGGAGACTGCTCCATAATCCGTACTAATCGTATTAGGGATTATGACTAATAAAAATAATCTTTAAATGTCTATCTTTAAACATTTACATGTATTCTACCTATTATGTCCGATGAACAATGGCTTCATTCATTCCAACTTCCTTACTCATCTTTGTTAACGCCTTATTGGTGGGAAGGTAGATTGACTGATTGGCCTTCCAATGAAACGAGAGAGCGTTCAGAGAGCGTTCACAGGAGCCAATCAGCTTCGAGCGTTTTGCCAGACTGTGGGCGAAGCGTTTTACTTCCGCCCCCCGTCTCACAAAACTCAGTGGAAATTTCCACTCTCTCCTCTCGCGACTATATATCCGCAGACAGACAGCGCGCTGCTCACACGGAAACACACACTGCGGCCTGAAAGCATCGCGGAGAATTACTGAAAGACAATCTTCTGGTGAGTAACGTTTACGTTTTTGATCTAATATGCTTTTGGAAGTCATCCAGTTGTTCGAGGTAGCCGACTCATTCTCTTTTATGGAACGGGTGTTTCTGCTATTACCGTTAAATAACCTAACGTTACCCTAACCGAAGTTTGTAAATTCAAAATCAACGGCTCTCACGCTGTAAATACGTTTTTTTAATGCAGCCACTTCCTTAATATTGCCATATTCCATTCATTCTTCACTTCATGAATTAAAAATGAATGCATGACCACTTTTATGTCAAACGCGGTTAATATTCGTCAAGCCGTTTTCTTTACAGTAGAATCTCCTGTTGTCAGACCGAGGGGAATCTTTCTTCATGCCCCAGCTTGCACGTTCAGGTCATTTGGAAGTCTGTCTCCAATACAAGTTTAAAATGACCGTATATGGTGTTCCGGTATGCGCCCTAAGCCACGCCCCCCGGCGCCGACTAGTTGGGCGCTCTCGTGTCTCCGAGTCGCTTTAATCCAAAGCCTCTGCTGCCGTCCGAATACTCCGAAAGCTGCTGAGTTCTATGAATTGACTCCTCCCCTTTTTCCCTTTCTAGGAATCTATACATTGATTTGACCGAGAACACTTGGAATCTACCACTACTTGTTTGACAGCCTCGCTTATTTTTAAATTCATCATGTCTCAGAAGCAGATCAGGTGAGTCATGTTTTTCTCTCCTCCATGAAGTACGTTCTCTAATTAATCATGTTCCATTAAATGTAAAATCCTCAACATTCAGAAACCTTTTTATTAATCTATTCCAGCCCTTTTTTTTGTTTATTTACAGTTCTATGTTAATTTCCACATTCTCCTTTTAGCCTCCCAGCAAAGCTCATTAACGGCGGTATCGCTGGCATTGTTGGCGTTACTTGCGTCTTCCCCATTGACTTGGCGAAGACCAGATTGCAGAATCAGAGACAAGGCCAGCAGGTCTACAAGAGCATGTAAGTGATCGAATTATTATTATTTTTTTTAAGTAGATAATTTAATCTCTATGCCCACTGGCATTGTAACAAGAATGACCCACTTGTTGGTTGCCACAATAAGTGCAGGTGAATGTTTGGCTTTGGGGAAGTTCCGGACTTAACGGCCTATGAGTCTTTCTCAGTCCTCTGAAATGAGGTAATCCAAATACCTGTGAAGGGTGGAAACCTGGTATACCCTCCGCCGCTGCTCATTGACTCTCGATAAGCGGTCTTTGCCATAAACTTGTTCTTTTAAAATAATGAGGCTCTATGTTGAATGTTTCCCTCGTATGTGTCGGATCGATAATGTTTTCCTTGCTCTCTCTGTTTTGTAGGGTGGACTGCCTTGTCAAGACAGTCCGATCCGACGGGTACTTTGGCATGTACAGAGGTAAGAGTTACCCTCATCTGAATATTAACCAGTAGGCGAGGACTAAATTAGGAAAGCGTAAGATCCTCCTATGCTGAGGTTGAGCGTTGATCGGTTTATTCGGCTACAGTGTGCTTTGATTGCATGAGCTGCTTGATTTCCGAGTTAAACAATGGCCTAAGCTATACAAAAAACAGAAGTGGCCAAAAACGTATTTTGCTGCTTTGATAAATTGTCTTTTAATAGCATTCATGCAGTATGTAATGAAACACTGTGTAAATATCAGGTCATTGCTTTTTATAATGTCAAAAAAAGATTAAGAAATCTTGTGGACATTGTTAAATATGAGAAAAATGGAGACCTTGTTATTCTGGGTCTCTGCTTGTGTGAGGAAAGCTGTTTGTTTGCATCTGTGTTTTTCATATTACAGACTTGGGTCCCCCTGGGATATTGAAGGCTAGCCGATAAGGCGCAGCCACGCTGGAGGCAAATCATATAATGGTTCTTACAATATTGCTCTATTTAAAACTGTAGGCACTCGTTTTTTTTGTTCTGCCATCTATTTGTTGTGTAATGTGACTTCATAACTAACCCCATGGCTGTCTGCTGTCTCTCCACTGTCCTGTCCATCTGGCGTAGAGCCTCTTTTTCTTGACTGTCCTTTCACTTAACACCCCTCCATTGTTGACACTGACCCACTCACTGACTCTTTACTCGCTGCACTTCATACTCTGCAGCCTCCTCTGGTTCTTCATCACCCTCATTTCCTCTGTTTTTATTGTCCCTTCCTTTCTCATCGTCTCCCTCCATCATCGTGTCTGAAGCTTCTTTTTTTAAACTGAGCGTCTTGTCTTCTCTCTGTGTAGATAAGTTACACGATGGATTAGTTAAATTGTGACGTTTGTGTCCTAAAATGGGCAAACTTTCCTGTGACCCGAACGCTGACGTCTAGTTTGTTCTTTCTTCAGGTGCTGCCGTAAATTTGGCGCTGGTGACCCCCGAGAAGGCCATCAAGCTGGCTGCCAATGACTTCTTCAGGCACCACCTCTCCAAGGACGGGTAAGCGCGATCACCTCCAGGAGGAAACCCTCGCCATTTTGAAGAGGGGAGGGGGGGGCGGGCGACATGCGTCATGCTTACTTGGCGTTTCTCTTCTCCCTCCTCACAGGGCGGGGCTGACTGTGTTCAGAGAGATGCTGGCTGGTTGCGGTGCCGGCATGTGTCAGGTCGTCATCACCACCCCGATGGAGATGCTGAAGATACAGCTGCAGGATGCGGGCCGACTCGGTGAGACGTCGCTCGCCGATCACCCAGGATCACCAGTTTGTGCGCGCAGCGGTGTGTTGATGTTGTGTTTTTGTTCCCCCCCCCCCCTTTTAAAGCTGCCCAGCAGACGAAGCCGGTCATGATGTCTCCCACCAAGCTGGTGGCCACCAACGCCGTGCTCACGCGCTCCTACAACTCTGTGGCGTCGGCCCGCCGGCCCGTCTCTGCCACGCAGATCGCAAAAGAACTCCTGCAGACGCAGGGCATCCGGGGGCTCTACAGGGGCCTGGGGGCCACGCTGATGAGGTATAACTGCCCCCACCCAAAAATGGAACCGTAAACTCATCAGACCAGTCACTTGCTCTCTGGTTTGCAATCTAAAACATGTTTTTTTAATTATTCCTTTGTTTTTAGGGACGTGCCCTTTTCTATAGTCTACTTCCCGCTGTTTGCCAACCTGAACCGCCTGGGCAGAGCGGGTCCCGAGGACGCCGTCCCCTTCTACTGGGCTTTCTTCTCGGGCTGCACGGCGGGTTCTACCGCCGCTGTGGCCGTTAACCCCTGTGACGGTGAGTCTCGCAGCCACGGCGAGGACCACAGGACGCAAACGTTTAGCTCAGAATAGATCATCTTTTAGAGTTTTCTCTAACATCCTTTTTGTTTATTTCTTTCCAGTGGTTAAGACGAGACTGCAGTCCCTGAACAAAGGGTCCAGTGAGGAGACCTACAACGGGGTTGTGGATTGTGTGAGGTAAGACAAGCCAACTCTCCACGACTACATTTTCATTTTGTTCTTTTTTTTTTTTTTTTTTGTGTGTGTGTGTATGCGTGGAAGTGAACCTGACCTCCTCCCTGTGTCGCTCCACAGTAAAATAATGCGAAAGGAGGGACCCTCGGCCTTCCTGAAAGGCGCCGGCTGTCGCGCGCTGGTCATCGCGCCGCTGTTCGGCATCGCTCAGGTGATGTACTCGGCCGGAGTCGGCGAGTACCTCCTGGACAACACGCCGCTGAACCTCCTGTCGCCATGAGAGACAACGACGAACGGGGAGGTGGGGGCGGCGGGGGAGAGCACACGCCGATCTCTTCTGAGCGTAGATGGCGACCAGCCGGCAGCTACACAACCATCAGTTCACAGCAACAACAGAAAAAAGGGGACAACGTAAGTGCTCTGACCGCTGTGTTGCACTCAAACACTTTTAAGACTTCTTCAGCAGGCCGACGTTTGCACTTGAAGCCGTTGGCCTTTCCAGGCCGTGGGGGGGGGGGGGGGGCTCAGAGTTGCAGTGTTATTCTTTCTATGTCTCTGAGACAGTCCTGTTTCCCTCTGTGAGGGACGGGAGCTCACTCCATCTACACGTTTGTGCTTTCTTCCACGTTACCACTTGTCGTATTTAGTGTGCTCGTTCCTATTTTGGATCGCGGCAGCTTTTAGTCCTTTTTAGTCTTTGTTCCTTTTCCTTCGCTGGGCCAAATTTACACAGTTCGTAGCAGAGGTCGTTTTTATTTTTGAAATACATTTTCAGTCAAAGCTTCGGTGCACGTTTAATGTGGCCGATGGTGTCCGTTCCTCCTGACGCGGGGCCGCGATGGTTCACCGAACCACAAGCGGCCCCGCTGTATACTTGATATTCTCCCTTCAGTGGGTCAGTAGTGAGCTGCAGCTTCAGTACCTGTGAAAAACTTGAGATGCAGTCATGCACATTACATGTATGTTTGTCCACGTAACATTTACAATAACTAATGCATAACTGAACCTAAGATGTATTTTGGTTTATGCCTTAACAGAGCAGACATTTCTCTCGCGAAGCAGGCTTAGTCAAAAAAAGCATTACGATGACTGAACATTGAACCTTGACTGTTACAATATTTTGTGATTTTTGTACAAACTGGGCATATATGTATATACAAAATAAACTTTGAATTGTACTTCTGTCTTTATGGATTATTTGATTACACGTTTAACAAGGGTCACAAATGATCAAGCATGAAGTGGTTGAACGGGGAGCAAAATGTCGACTATAAATGGGACGCTTTTGCCTTTTTTTTATTTTTTTGTGACGTGAGCATGTTTGGTAGGAAATGTACCAAAAATACCAGACGCATCAATAAAAGCACCCAATATTTTGTTTTATTACTGTTATAATGGCAGAAACTTTATTATGCTATAATCCACATCTCATTGGCACAACAACAAAATTTACATCCAGAAAATAATTCCCACACAAAGCAAACCACGTCACTGTTACAGTTCACACAGGAATACAAAAGAGTTATTTGTGACCTTTTTAGATGAATTTGGAGATTGAGATTGCAGGTTTATCATCAGACCTTCCCTAAGGCGTTGACGTTTACATCACATCTACACTTCCTCTACGGTGCTTTCCAGTAGAAATACTTGACAGTGGTGGCCAGTATGTACACACGGAAACCACGCGGTGTAGGTAAATAGGGCCGAGGCTGAAGACTGGTTTCCTGTTTGACTAAATAGGCACACGATGGAAATCTACTCGGCAAAGGTCCGCTACAGTCCTCGGAAACATTTAATCACACACAAGTATTGATTACAAAACGTGGGCTGGAAAGGGCACAATAAATAGTTAACTGCATGAAACGGCGGTCCATATTTACAGCACATTCGTGTGTCGAACGAAGGCTTTGTGTAGCGACTAGTAGCTCACAGTGAACCATTCTGTGACCAAAACCGGCGAATGATGCAGAGTTTTCGCCGAAAAGCAGACGGTGCGTTACGCGGAGGAGCAGAGGAAATGACCACTTCCAGCGCTGGTGGAGTTCAGGGGGTGTGAAGGTGACGATTCCAACCTGTCGTGTTGAATTTGGCCCGTGGACAACTGGGATGTGCTCGCTCTCCCTGTTAGTGTTGAGTGAACCCCCCCCAGATCACTCTGGACTATTTGAATTGACATTGAAATGTAACTTTGGCTTTTCCCCTCAGACGGGCTTCTATGAAGGGGTCAGGGGGCGTGTGATGGGGGGGGGGGTCGACTCACCATCTATATAACCTCCCTGTTGTTCCTGATGGCACAGCACAGAACCATACTGAAGATCATTCCTATGATCTGAAATCAGATGAATAAACGGGACATGTTAAATCATCAGCATCATGGAAAAGTAGCAAATAGGGCAAATAGTTCAAATTTAGATTGGAAATATTTCTAATTTCCAATCAAACGTTTTGTAACTTCTCACCATGACCCCCGCCATCCCGATCCCGGTGTATCCCATAATATGCAGCTTTTCATCAAAGAACTCCGTTATGGCGGTGAGGCAGTCCTGAAAAAAAACGACAACAGCGCATTCACATCGTCGGCAAAAAGTTGAATTCAATACCAACTGTGCAGCGGCTGGTGGAACCTGGACTCGGCTCTCTAGCGCCGCCACGTGGTGCGACGCGTCACAGCAGGCGCGAGGCGCCTTCTTTTCTTTTCTTTTACCTGAACGTCCTGCTGCCCCTCGCACAGCTCCTTGTTCACGTCCGACGTGGAACCTCCGCAACAGTTCAGCTGGAGAGCAGACAGAGATTAGAAACGTGACCGGTGGCGAGGAGGAGGAAGAGGAGGAGGGAAGGTGGAGGATGGGGATGAGGAGGTGGAGGAGGATGAGGAGGAGGAGGAGGAGGTTGAGGAGGAGGAGGTTGAGGAGGAGGAGGAGAAGGAGAAGGTGGAGGATGAGGAGGAGGATGAGGATGAGGAGGAGAAGGAGGAGGAGAAGGTGGAGGATGAGGATGAGGAGGTGGTGGAGGAGGATGAGGATGAGGAGGAGGTTGAGGAGGAGGAGGAGAAGGAGGAGCGGCCTCACTTACGGTTCTGTGGTAAATGGAAGCGATGTCGGTGCCGTTCGGAGTGGTGACGTCAACTAAGGAGCTGCTGTAAAACTTTTGGACTTCCTCAATAATCTGTTGTTGAGATATGATAATACAAAAAAAAACGTTAATTGTATTGTTGTTAATGTTTTTTTTTAAACTTTTTTTTTTACCTGTTCCTTGTTTACGAATCCGAACACTCCGGCAGCAATCTCTGCTCCAAAGATGATGATAAGGCAAGCAAAGAACTGCAGAATAAAAGAAAGTTGCTACCTTATATATCACGAGAGAAGAGTTTGTAACACTTTATTTGACAGTTCAATCATTTCCTTCTAATTTACAAATAAGAGGGACCCTCTTATACAAAGTCCATCTTGGTCCAAGATTGTTTCCTGAAAAGATTCATTACTAAAAAGCTCCATTCTAAACAAAGTTAATTTTCTTTAATTATTAATTTATTCATAGAAACTTCATTATCTTTATTTATATGGAGACTCAAACTGAATAAAATATTATTGGATATAAAACCAGGAGATGCAGCACTTATGAGCCCATCAACTCACCGATGCCAGAAGACACTGAGACTCACGAACAGCTCCGAAACAACCAAAGAACCCGACGATCGTCATCAACCCGCCTGCACCGAGGAGGATGTACACAGCTGAGTGAGGAGAGAAAAGGAAATCGATTGAGGTTCTGGTTCTGGTTCTGGTTCTGGTTGAAGTTCTGGTTGTATGTCACCTTACAACAATAAGGTAATGCAAAGTGCTTCATTTAAAACAATTAAAACCATCAAAACTTAACGTTAAAAATAAGGATATCAATAAAATACTGTGTTACTCTGTGGGAAGACATTTTGAAACAATGCGGCCATCCTGAGGATCGGGGTAGAATAAATAGCCTCGATAGACTGAAGGACACATGAATGCAGTTCGCAGTTTAATCTGAGGATGGCAGCATGCGCCAACCGTTTTCTTGCCTTGTATTTTGCAGCATTTCTACAGAAGGGCTGTTGTTGTCTTTGGCCACCAGCACGACAGTGTTGCAGTGTGGGAGGCAACTTCCAAAATTCAGTCGGATTCTCAGCGCATTCCTTAAATGCAGCCACTTGAGAGTTGTAAGGCTTTGAGATGAAAACAAACGGCACTTTTTCATGTTTGGTAGCTTAAAATAATTCCTTTTTGGTTATTTTTTGTGCATCATGAGTCATAGATGGGTGCACCAGATTAGTGATCAAACAGTGTCCTGTATCTTGTTCATCGTTTCTGAATTAGCTTGTTTTCAAGAAGCTGCAGAAAATGGGGGAATCGTGTGCTAAGAGTGTTAAAGAGACAATTGGCCCCTGGCCACAGAGACGGGTCTTTGATGATGTCTTTTATGCCATTCTGTCCCTGCGGGCATGAGGGCTTGTGCACGGGAGCCAAATAGGTGATCCATCCATGCAACTGTCCAATAACTGAAGCCTCGAAATATAAATAATCTGTTTGATCAGTGTCTCAGTGCGCGGAACAAAACAACACGGCGGGTTCTGTCCAGCTGGAAGTTCTTCTTCTCTCCTCCCCCGAGGTGCGGTCTGACTGCATTCGCTTTTTTAATGTGAATGGAAGCGAATGGAGCTGTTGAGAAGCAAAGCTTCCATTTGACTCTTTATTAGTCTCTGTACATTCATGCTGCTGCAGGCCAAAGCAGATGCCATCTGCCTGGTGGGCCAAATCTAATTTTTGGGTATCTGATTGCTGCAGATAGACTCCGTCCCCCAACCACCCCGGCTCCCCTTTGCGCCGGGATGTCGTCATCCCCCCCCCCACCCGCCGTCTCCTCCCCAACCGTCTCCCCATCTCCCAGCCCTCACTACCGAGCCCTTCGCGCCGCAACTCCACACCGAGCCCGTCCCCGAGGTCCACGCTGAGGGTCCCGTTGGTGACATAGATGGCAACCGCTGCAGCAATTTAATTAATCCACATGGGGGGGGTTGGGGCGGGGGGGGGGGGGGGGGCGATACGTGTGAACGTCTCACTGTCTCTTTAAGTTTCTCTCTCTCTATCTCACCGCAAACGCACAAAGAGGCCCTTTTGATGCACGCAGCAACAGAGGTGACGGAGTGGAAAGTTAGTCGCCCCGTAGGGAATGCTTCCACTTGGCTTGTTATGGTATCACCCTGTCCCGTCTCTCCAGGCTGGAGGTGAGGGCCGGGCGGGCGGGCGGGCGGGCGGCGCCGCATGTATTCGGATCGTTGCTAAGACGACAGACCCTCCGCAGCATCTTTGAGGCGAATATAGAGTCGCTGACAGCTTTGTGCCGTGCATCGCTCAGTCTCCGTCGCACTCTGTGTGTTAGTATCACGTCGCACCCCCGAGAGCCTCTTTGGACGGTTGGAGCCATGTAACCATGGTAACCCATGCCAACCTGGTGACGCCACGCGATGATTTGAGATAATCACAGTGAGTCCGAACAAAGCTGAAAATAGACTGAGCCTCGAAAAGTGAGGTGCTATACTTCACAAAGCCACGCCATTGTCTATAGGAAACATAGTTTTTACTACAGCGTTGCATTGTAAGATGTTCAAATCGGCGTATTTTCTCTAAAAAGCTTGTTGTTATGGAATTTCAGTCCCGGATGGTGTATGGTTTTTCATTTGAATGACAGAATGGAGTGCATTATTGAATATCTTGTGTGCGTTACATGGGAGACAACGTTTAGATCTATAAATTCCACCACAAATACAACGTTTGGAATACTGCAAATATATAAACACTGTGGTTTGAAAGCTGTGCAGCGTGGATATTAACCTGCAAAGTAACTGTGTCAGCACTGAACTGTACACTCTTTCTAAGCGAGTACAATGAAGTACAGTGACGCACTTTAGCAAACGCACACACCAGAAATATGTGAGACAAGTGGAGCGAGCTGTGTGATGTTTGCATATCTAATGGAACCAAACTGTAGGAAACCTTTATCAGCTTCACTTATTTGCATCAGCTGCGGGACGGACCCCTGTCTCCTGCCCCACCCTGCTCGCTCCTCCCGTCCTGAGGGAGGCAGCCGGCTCCACGGAGGCAAAGCAGAGAGCCGATGAAGTCACCAACGGGAGTAACAAGAATAGGCTTTATTCTAACCCTCGGCTCCTACGCAGCGAGAGAGAGAGAGAGACGGGGCCTATTGTATGGACTACGGCCCACTTCTACACCAAAGGGTGTTTTCACCCTCCAACGTATGTTTTACTCACCTTTACTGTGTTTTTTTTTTATTGTCATTGATTATCAATAACCAAAAGCATCCTGAGCACAAAGTGCTGCGTACTTAAAGATCTTTGAGCGAGGAGTCGAGTGGCTCATTACTCAGTTTGGAGGCTGCGGGGTCCATTTGTCACCGCATCCCTGATGGATCGTTCTGTAGAACCCCAGTGAGAGGAAAGTCGGGTCAATATTTGCAATTCTCCCCATAAGCCATAAAACGCAGCGCTTCCACTAATGGCGCTTTGTCGATAGTCGTTTGGCGTATCCTCTTTCACTTCTCCCCTCGGACGCCGTGTGAGTGGCAAAAACAAAAGAAAACAGCGAAAGTGAGGTTGTCAATGACGATTTAAAACACTCGGAAAGCGAGTCTCCGTTGTGGGGAGGAAGTGATGAAACATCGCAATTACATTGAGGGGGAAATGTGCCTGTTAAGTGTCCATTACCGTCCCTCCCCCACCTGCTGCACCCGGAAAGGTCCTTCAGTTAAAACTGTGGCAGGGAATCCCCCCCCCGGGAAATGAGTTGTAAACGATCACCACAGCGCACCGTAAAACCTAAAACATGTAACGTGGAACCGGGCTGAATCGTCCGGCCCGGAGGCGATTTCCCCCCCTTGCAGCATTTGGTACTTCTCACGTCGTGGCGTCAAACTCTTACGTTCTGACTTTGGGAGGAAATCCGTCAACAATACATGAGAATAAGAGGTGTGACGGCAGGACGTACCTATGAAGAAGGTGTCGGGGGCTCCGTCCCCTGTCAGCAGCTCCGCTGTTTCTGGGTCAAATCTGAGCCAAAGTCCCACGGCCAGCACCAACAGGCCCGAAAGCTGAGGAAGGACACATTATTCAGCCCATATACGGGTAATATTAACACTTTAACACACTATAGAGTGTGTTGTGTTTGTCGAACGGCCAGATTGCAGATCGAAGCCAAGGGAAGTGCAAATTAGCCAATTATTTTAGTTGTCTGCTAATAGATCAATGCAAGACTCTGCTTCTCTAATGCACAATGTTTGAACCATCATGATTTGTATTTCTTGTCATTTTTAGCTCTCAACGCCCAGAAAATCACTCCACAGATGAACCTTCAGGCCCACCACGTTGTTTTTCTTCTTTGGCTCCTCTGTTGTTTAATATTCTGCTGGTGGCGCTCTCGTCTTTTGTCTCGTCCACTAAGTCTTTTGTCTCGCCCACTAAGTGCCCCCCTTCTTCTGTTCATTCCCCACGAACTGCGGAAGGGAGAGACGCTAATGCGTCACCTCTTTAACCACCGAGGGTTCGGTCAAAGTTCAGGATGCATTTCGCCTCTTAAAAGGATCACAAACTTCACGTCACGTCGCAAAACGCCACCATCTTGCTGTCGCTGGTCGAACGTGCAGCCTGAGTTAAAGGAGAGGGCATCGGGAGGACCAGAAGTTGGACCAGAAATAAACCAATTGATTGAAACCAGGAGAAAGTGGATCCGTCTGACCTACAACAAATAGCAGGATATCAGTTACCTCTGTGTTGACAATCGCATTTTGAGAAAAACACAAGGACGAATAATTGAACAGAAACAGCAGCTCGTTACCCTGAAACTCTAACGTCTTAACGGCAGCATCTGCGGGCCGTCTCCCATGGTGCTTTTCAGCCACAGGCTGTGCCAGCCTCACGGTGTCAGGGTGATGTAACTCACACTGGCATCGGGCTGCAGCCCAAAATGTGCTGTACGCCCCTCTTGGCTCCGACCACAACAGCACTGCTTTCAGTCCCCGGCCTCCTAAACAAAGAGGCCGCTGTCCGTCCAGGGTGACAAGTGATCGTCTTACAGCGCGCAGATGACTTACATCCAAATATACTGTATCATTTAGCAGTAAAACATGAGCCTCCAGCCCCCAACCTCTGCAGAGAGTCTGTAACAGCACGTAATAAGTTGATAAATACGCCTGCAAACACTGTAGTAATCACTGTATCGTTTAATGCATTTTTTTATTAAAAATGCAAAATATTACCTACGTTGTGTTATGTTTCATGAAATACTATGTCACTTCTCTGGATTTTGGACTCTCTGAGAAAAGCAATTTTAAGACTTTGAAGAAGAAAATGTGCATTTGTCTCTATTTGCACGTTTTAGTTCCAAAAAGATTGTTGAGAAATCGATTAGTTGCAGCTATTTTATCTCATTTAATGAATTCATTTGAATCTGTTGCAAATTAACGCAGATTTGACACAAAGAAACCATTTAAACGTAATACGTAACGCAGAGGGTTGCAGTGGTTTGCACCTTTAGGGGTTAAGACCACTAATTGGTCAAAGGTGAAATCCTTCAAAATAAAACAGCCTGGAAAAGAAGAGGCTGTCATTCGCTCTTTAGTTAAACAAGTCGCATTCACACACATCTGATGGAGCAGAAACCAGGTTTAACAAATATCTCAGGTGGTAAGTTACAGCAAAGAACATTGCAAGTGTTAGTATCCATGGTAACCTTATCTGAGCAGATTCGATCAAGCACCGACACCAAAACAAAAGCATCCATGGTGTTCCCACAACAGATTAACCCTAACCCTCAATCCCTCGGAACTTCTGCAGAAAGGTCTCAGCACGATGACAGATCGTGTCAAAGGCGTTTGTGGCTTGCATTCTCTCCTTTTATTTACTCATTCATTATTAAAAACAGTTCATATTAAGGGCACTTTACCTGTAGTAGTAAGGGGGCATTTATGATGATTGACAACATAAAGGAGGATTCATTTAAGGAAGCAGAGAGGAGTAAACAGGAGGATGGTAATCAGTGAACTCCCATGTTCCAGAATATAGCAGGTTAAATAAAAACATATATAATAATATAAATAGACAGACTATCCGCGTGCACGTCAACACTTCGAGCGGGAGCAGCACGAGCACGTTTTTCACGTGCAAAACAAGCTTGATCGCATGGAATTGCTGACACAACGCAAAGAATAAAAGATGGCTTTCAAAACGCCGACGACGTTTCCCCAAAACAGCAAGACCCCGGGGTTTCCACGTCAACGAATCGAACTTACCCAGAAGATGAAGTTGAAAACGAAAAGCAGGTACTTGACGCATTTCATCCCTCCCTGCACTTTGCTCATGATGTCACCCGATTAGTCGATATTCCCGATGTCTGAGCGCCGCTATTCTACGAGTCCTCGCGTCTCCCGGTTGGACATCGAGCGCGCAATGATGCTGAAGATCTGCACAGCCTCCCCATCCAAACGCGAGGACATGCGCACAAAGCTGCGCGGCTGGAGGGAGCGCGCACGCCGCCGCCCGCCCATCCCGAGGAGGTGGTGTTTTTTTTTTTTGGGGGGGGGGGGGGGGCGATCTGGGACCCCCGAGGGAGACTCCGAGTCCCCCAGCTGCGACACAGGGGACAGGTTCAGTTCCGTGTGCGCACATTTCCACTTGGAAGCAAGTGCAGCGATAATGAGGGCATGTTTTGTTGTTATGTGAAACAAATAAATCCACCAAGAGCCATGTTGAGTCATAATTTGACCAATAAACCTTGTTAGTGAAGAAAATGTGTGGGTAGAGAATGAATAAATACCAAATGATATAATCAGTGTGGGTGGGGGATGTGAGTCTATAAACAGTCTCTTTGCAATCTCTCTATTTTATTGTGGTAAATATAATCGATTTAAGGATCAATGAGGACCCCCAGAAACTCTTGGACAGTATTGAACAACGAGTTTTTAATATTCACTTTCCCCTCTCCTTCCTCCATCACCTAAAATGGGAAGTTGGACAAAAGATCAACAGCATTTTTTAAAACCTGCATCACCAACACCGTGTCACTGATATCAGTGTTTATCGTGGAAACATGGAAACTTGTGTAAATGTAAAACACACGGTGACCTGATCAGTCACACGTGAACAATGGCAGTTAGAACAAGTCTTTCTATTTATGTTCCCAACTTATTCAATCTAAAATTTAAAAAGGTATTTGAAAGGAACCTATAAAGACTGATAATCACTTATAAATGTTAAATCACAGCTTGAGCGCCGTGTGCAAGTTGTGGCACTTGGTCGTCACTTGGTCGTCATTTTCATATCTTGGCTTGCGAAATCACAGCTTTTCAAACACGACTGTCACAAATAGTTCACTTAGATAAACACTGTTAAAGTATTTTAAGAAAATAATTGGAGTGCACATTTTGCTTGTCAAATGAAATGTTTTCAGGGTTTTTAAGCCCTTTTCTTTCACAGTGCATTACATACTGGACTCTGCAGGGCATGCATGAAGACAAAAGTCAAGGAAGATACGGTTAGAGTTTTCAAGGAAGATACGGTTAGAGTTTAATAAACACATTTCATTTATACCGTTTTTGTGGGTTATGCACACTGTAACAAATTTACAGTGCATTTCTAACGGTATCTTACAGTATGTCATAATAACTGTAACATACAGTTAAATTTCCATCCCTTGCTTGTAAATTAACGGCCAATGTCATGAATAAACATTTAAAGCTGTCAATTTACAATAATAGCAAACTACCGTAATTTAACTGCATGTTACATATATTTTATGAAGTGGTGGAAATACACATAGTGCAGTGAATCACAATCCATCTACATCTTTTGTAGGTTAATGCATGGAAGCCCATGTCAGCCACTGAAAAACAGGTCCCGTATGTCATCCTAATGAGATACAATGATGACTTTGACTTACAGGACATTACCATACATGCAGCTGTCACTTTTATTCAAAATGCCCATGGTTTGACATAATTTGATGTGGAGTAATTGGGGTTAGGTGTCTTGCGCAGTGACACTTCGACTTGGCATAGGGAGCAGCCAGGATTCAAACCGCCAACCTTGTGCTGCACAGCACACCCTCCCTATCCCATGCGCCGCCTTCGCTGTCATTTCAGTGGCCGGAATGTAAAGATTATAAATATTTGTATTATTCAAAGTGTCCATTGCCTAAAAGTCACGAGTGTTTAATCGTGACCGACTGCTCCTGAACGTGACGTCAGACGTGTAATCTCAGTTTATCCAGAACAGGCGTGCAATTCAACATCGGAGGAGTTTCTCATTGCCTCGTCTCTCCAAGTAACGTTGGTAAGTATTATTAGCCTGGCATTATTAACATTCTCCTTCCTTACATTGTGTTGTCTTCCTCAACTTTGTAATTTTAATATTTTACCAATGACAGTGTTTCTAAATATTTAATTTTGGTTGGTTTTACAGAGGGATTAAGGACGCCAGCCGTTTGCTGTGGTCAATTGAAAGTGTTCCATAGCGTATTGTTGCAGTTAGTTTACCTTGTTCCTAATGATTTTATCATTCATTTTTTATTATTGTACACATGCTGCATATTTTATGTTTTGTTCTTGGTTACAAATGTCTAACATTTTTGTCCTACTGCATCTAATTAACTCCAACCACTATGACCAAAATTATTTTGTTTGTCTTTCTTTAATTTGTGTGGAATTAAATGCAAAAGTATACGATTATGAGTAAAAGGTAACATTCTGGTATTTATAACACAAAAACAGTAATCGTATGGTAACAAACTGTAATCCAATATACGACAACATACCGTAAATTACGGTAGGACACTGTAAATAAAACAGTAAGTTACTAGCGTCGACTGCCAGTAAATTGCAGTTAATTCGCAGTAAAATTCGTTCAAGTTTACTGTAACATACAGTAATCCATTTTATGGTAACATAGTGAAAAAAACATTTACGGTACTGTACCGTAAAATAACGGTACATTCCTGCCGTCCTTGCTGCCAGTAAAATACCGTTAATTTACAGTGAAATTTTTTGGAGTGCATGTCGACTTACCTCTTGACTGTACATTTAGTTTATGAGTACATATTCGTTAATACAGCACATTGAGGTCACAGTTTGTGGTTGCTGGGTGATCATCTCATATGACTTTATTGTTACAATGCTTTGCACTTAGACATAGTTTGGAAAACACTCAGTTGGTTTACACACTCTGAAAGCCGAAGGCCGTATCATTCAGAACAGTTCAAGTTGCATATCTTCTAAAAAATAAACCTTCCTCCAATGCAACTTTCCTTAAATCCTGTCTGCATGAACCTGTCATGTCAAGCGTCCTCTTGCAGCTGCTTATGCAGCTTAGCCTCTGTAACTTTTGATTGTACTATCTTACAGAGAGCCTTACTGGCTAGGGTTTAAACGTATTCTCCTATTTCACATGTCACATCGACCTCTTTACTTTCATATCTGTTTCTGCGTTAATATGCAAATTGTGCTCGATACATAAGCCATATGAAGCTCCTCTGTGTCCTCTGCCGGACGGAGGGTGGGGGGCGAAATGGGAGAGGGAACAGCCTCATGTTTGTGCCGCCTTTGTTTGCTGCTCCGATGTGGGAGGGAAACAGCGACCCCCCTGTTCTTCTCACTGAGGGACAGATCACGGGACACATCGCATCACCGCCTCTTTATTTATCAGGTGACAACTCATCTGCAAAAGTCAGCAGATGCAGGCGGGCGAATGGATTGATGTAAAGATGTAAAGATGCACAGGAACGAGTAATAGTTTCCATGAATAAGATCAGTGAACTGCATTAACGTTAAACTAATACCAGTCTGGTCATCCAATCCTGTCATTGAATTCAGGGCTGTAATTATCACAGTGGGAGAAAACCCAAACTGAAACGATGTTCTCTGAGTATAATGGAGTCAAAATCACTCCTTCGCTCCACAGCCGCCTCACCCGCCTCACCCTCCTCCCACTATTCTGCTGTCCCTGATATGAAGATCTGCAATAACGTAACCGGATCTCCTTTGGGGGAACTGTCAGGCTTATGATACAATAAATATCAGAGGTGACAAGACAGTCAATTAAACAAATATTCTATATTTTTATATTGACACGCAAAGCAAATCAGGTGATTGTGAATAATTAAACAGGTTTCTCTTCAGAGTCTTGGCATTGTGTTTCAACACTGAATATTTAAAATGAAGGAGGCCTTAAATTTACATTTGTATCACAAAGAGAGTATAGCAGAATGGAAACCTAGACAGACACGTTGAAGTATTATGAGATAAGAATATTCGCTCCATCTAGTGGGCAGATGGAGAAGTACAATCTGTTATTAACATATTTATGTGAACTTTTATTTCTATTCAAGTAAAGATAGAAATTATTTAAAATATTATATAATGCACTTATACACCTATAATTCACAAATATTGAAATATGTTATGCTAGCATCTGAGCATCTATTGATCCAATGTTATGAAGTTTCATTTGAAGTAGTCGTGTTTTCCTCCTCTGGCCTCTAGAGGGCAGTGTTGTATTTGATTTTGAAGCGCTTTGGAGATGCCTGAGTTTGAAGTAAACAAGCCAGAAGTAAACAAAACATGTTGGCTTTTAAAGTAGTATTTACAGTTGGCAGGTAGACAGCTCAAATCGGGATACTTCTCTTCAAAGTCTGTAGTTATTTGAGAAACAAAGTCTCTGTTTCGGTTTTACTTCCAAGCACCTCTGACATCTTAAATCAGTCAGCTACAAAGACGAATGTTTGAGTCTAAAAAAGAAACCCCCGGGTTGTTATTCCTCAAAGACATCTGAACACTGAAATGCCGCAGTGAAAACCAAGAAAACAGCAAGCTACGACATTATCAGCCATCTTTTTCGTGTAGATGTTTTCCTTTTATAGTTTCATAGCTCCAAGCTCAATGAATGAATCGGTAAAAGGAAGGAACATGGCTTGGGTCTCTTGTTGAGCTGTTACTCATTCACTAAGGAACAATACACTTCAAAAAACACACGGTGCATGTATGTAAATGTTTAATAAATAACAATCAACGACAGTTTAACAAAGGTTGACTTATAAATTGTATGTCCAAAGTGTGTGTTGCGTCACTTTGTGTGCAACGCCACTAGATGTCCCCATATGTGAGGATCTGAATTAAATCTCCTTGTTTGAAAGGAGGTTAAAGGTTGTGTGGAACTGGACTGTAAATGAGTAAAAACCCCACTGGTTCAAGTGGCGTTTTGAACATATTTCTGTTGCAATGAAATAATAATAATTACAACCTGTGAGCGTGCGGCGCGCACCTCATGAATTAACTTCATCATTATACGTTTGGTTAAGCTGCGGTTCTGCTGAATCTGGGCCCGTATTTATCAAACCACTAAAGGGAATGTTTGGAGGTTGAAGATTAAGGAAAAAATCTGCATTATGCCATTTTTTTATAAAATGCTCTGATTATATAAAATGCTCCGTAGGACAACAGCACAAGTGTTCTGATTTACAATCTGTTCGAACATTGGAGAGGATATTTCTTCAGAGGTGTAAACATCAGAGAGAAAACTGTCTTTCATTTTATGTTGGAATCCCTTTTTGGGCATCTTCAATGTGATAATGAATTCTCCTTTGTTATTAGATTTTTCTTACTCTTTTAATTGTACCCAATTTGATTTTATTTAATCCACATGCATTCATTTCTATACACATCTTTGAAATAAAGTAGTCTTTTTGTACATTGTAATTGCTTAAGGAGAGATAGAGGATTTTACTATATTATATATATCAGGTTGCTTGATACATATCTCATATTTCTCCTCAGTCATCGGAAAACTGATATCCTCCAGAGTGAGTTTTAAGAACATTTTTTCAAATTTGCCAAATTCAATAATTTAGCATTTCAGCATTTAGCAGTCCAGATTCCCAATGGACACTTAAAAAATAAAAAAGTGACGAAAAAGAGGATCAAAATCGATGCAGCAGAACTTCATTATCATCCCACGCATTCTCCTCTGTCAACAAACCCTGCATGACTACATTACCCAGGAGCCAACGCGGCTGTGGCCTCCAGCAGAACCGAGGAGAAGACTGCAGACGTTTGGTGAGAACCACGCTCTACTTTTTCAAACATCAGCTTCATCTGAGGCCACAGAACGCTTCACACCCCTCATCATTCCACGCAAACCGGAAGCACACTCTTTGACGTCAGAGATCCTAGTTCCCTTTTTAAAGTGGACATTCTCAGGCTCTTGGTAAATGTTCGAGAGGCCTCCCAAAAAGCTCCAGACGAATACGGATACACGGGCGTGTACCCATGGCTGGCGCACACGCACGCGGGCCCGATGCTTTGACATAAACCAATAATTTACTGTGTGCAGTGGGTGACGAGTTCATCCGTGTTTGTCCCCCCGCTGCTAGACGACCGCGGCGCGCGTGGGTGAACGAGGTCACACCCGCCACGACTTGCGGCTCAGCACGCACACGCAGGCCACGTTGATGCGTATGAGCCTCCACGCCACCAGGTTCTTGAACGAGGTCAGCGCGCGCACGAACGTGTGCGTGTTGGTGCAGTAGGAGTTCCCAGCTGCGGGCGTCGATGCCCAAACAGCTGGAGCGGCCCGGGCGCGCGCTGTGGCACGTGGTCTCGAAGAAGTACTGCTTCTTGTTGACGTTGTTGATGTTGACGTCCGGCAGCACCGTCACCTCGTGGCCCGAGATGTCCGTGGCCTTGGTCTTGTTGCCCACCCAGACGCTGACGCTGTCGCACACCGAGAAGACCCCGCGGTGCTGCGGCTGCGCCGCTCGCCGGCGGGTCCGGCCGCCCCTGCCGCCGCCACCGCCGCCACCGCCGCCACCGCCGCCACCGCCGCCACCCTGCGACTCGGCCGGCTCCGCGTCGGGCGGCCGGGCGCTGAAGAGCACCCGGGGTGAGAGGTGGCGGCGCCTGGTGAAGAGCTCGGGGTCCACCGCGGGGACGGATTTGGAGTCCGGGTTGTGGCCTGGAGGCCCGTGCTGCTGCGCGGCCACGGCCCGGGCACTGAAGAGGAGGATCAGGACCAGCATGGGCGACCTCATGGGCACACCACCTGTCGGGCGAGCACAGAAAAAGCGCAGTGTGAAGTGTAAAGGTGGGAATACTCCTACTTTACTCCCCATTCTACATGCACAACATGTTGGGCGGTGAGGTGGAGCTAATAGGAGCAGCTTTGCTAACACTCCGGCTTTAATGCTTAAACTGTCAAACAATTCATCCAGATGTTTTCCCTCAGAAATCCTTTTGCCAGACAGTTACAGGGATTTCGCTTCCACAAACAGATGCCGATGTATTATTTTAGGTAATTGCAGCTGACATTGCCTGGCAGAATTTCCGTGTGGACGTTTATAAAGTGTATCTTATTTTATATTTGGACAGTATTGACTTAATGAACCCAGTTGCGCAATAAATAACATTCCCTTATGCTACCGGAGGTATGAAAGAAGGTATCGGTTTGTTTGTTTTTACTTATTTTCTCTTCTCTGTGATTCCAGCTGATGTAGAAAGATTTCCATATTCTGAGCTCACAGTTTGATATCATCTTCAAACTGTTTACAGACACAAAAAATTATTCAAATAGTGTAAATCTCCGTAATTAGAACTATATTCCCTTTAGTGGCAGTGAAGTGTGTGTATATATATATATATATATATATGCTCTCTCTACACAACACGTGTCCTGGTCCTGCACGCATGGACGGGCGTGTCGACGCCTGCGACGCGCTCAGCCAGCAGGCTGCGTCACGCAGGGCCCATTAGACGCTGCGTTCGCCTCGGGGGTCGAGGCGGGTGCTGCTGGATTAAAACTGTTGGCACAACAAATCAAAAGAACGCTCATGGCCCGTTCAGCTCGTGATCGCGCCGATGTGGGCTCTGTTCACTTCAGTAGCTCTCTACTCGCGCCTCCTGTGTGCACGACAACATTTGGGCATAAAAATAACACTGCAAAAGTATTTTAGGGAGCCAGTCATTTATATACAGAGACCAGAGCACTGAAGGGCAGGTCGGGCCTCTGTTCAGTTTCTGGGAGGCTTTGGGACACACAGGAAGGTTGCTTTGCAGTAGGAAGCAGGAAACATTCATGCGGTGGCAAACAAGAGATTCATTTTGTTGGAGTGAAGCAAAAGGCTGATGAAAAGGGAAAAACACTTTAAATGAGCACAGCGACTCCCTGATGGCAAGATCTATTTTGAAAAAGGAAGTAACGGGAAACAAAATCACTGATGAAGGTGAAAATGTTTTCTTTTTTTTTTTTTTGCAGAAAGTTACCAGGATGCATAAATAAATACTTGAATTGCAACCTGAAACATATTCAAAGGACAAACATCATGTCAGCCGCTATCACAGATTCTCTGCAGATCTGAAAGAAGCCTTTGTTTTGCTGGCGTGGGACCAGTGGGACGACAAAATGGAGCACAGCCTTAAATAAGGTTATCAGTTACAAATGCATGTCTCCATTCATGTCAAAATAGCTGCAGCACAAATGGAATTGACAAAAATCAAATGTATTTGTCTGTATTTGTGAATGCACAAGCGTTCAAGTTGTAGATAATATGTATATATATATATATATTATCTACAACTTGAACTCCTGTGTATTTATCAGGGGAGCAATTTTAAAGCCTGCATCCATGTTCATTGTAAATGTGCTGACTTTACGATATGATTCCTTCGATGCACCACTTCATTTAATTTACATTCTGGTTTCCAATTCACTAATGTGCATATAAATTCCATTAAGGATTAAATAATTGCTTTCACAAGCTACTTAGGAGATGTTGACGATGTTCATACAACTTCTACAGCATCCGTTTACTTAATTACTTAATCAGGTCTTTCGAGATGACATTTTGACCATATTCCCAACTTGTTTGATGCTGATCATCCAAACGTCATTTACCGCCTCTGTACCTTTTTCAGTGTCTCCTCGTGAACTGTAGCGCCGGTAGCGGCTTCTAGAGGACACGACCAGAGCTCCCAGTGTGCCGGGCTCCTGCCATCAGGCCCCGACTCTGGTCCCCATCCAGCACACCTCCTCCTCCTCCTCCTCTTCCTCCGCTCTGAACCCCTGATGAGAGACAAGCACAGGACGCGTTTCCTCCCGGCTCGTAAACCGTCTGTAAACACATTCTCCGTGGGAGCGATACTGGGAAGATAAAGTCGACGTGTTATTCCCGCTCACCAGGTCCTTGCATACTGAACATACCGAAATCAAGAGCGAGACCTGCATAATGTAGATTATCTGCAATGGAAACATGTCGGGAAGCTCCATGTTAACGAGGTACAATTCTGTCGAGTGTTGACTGGTCTGTGGAGATTTAAAAGGCGGCTGTGCACAGAAAGACGTTTGACGTTCAAAGATGGTTTAGGATCAAGACGAAACCAGATCGCACAGGAATCTTGAATATGAAGCCACGCACACACCAGAGAAGTTGTCAACATCACGTTCTATCTTTCTGCATCGCAGCTATCTTCTTCCTTAAATTCTTTCCAGGAAGATTAACCTTCCAGGCGAACCAGAAGGTTTCATCTTGTTAAGACGACTTAATGGGCCGTAATTCCAAACGACACCCGCACGCTCCTGCAAAATAATCACGGCACCTCCACAGCGGTGGTCCCCTCTTGCTGCTGTGGGATTTGAACCTGTGATCTTTCCAAATCGCACAATGGGCCGGGCTGCTTCTGTGCAGAATCCAGCGGGTTTTAACTGCCACGGAGACGGCAGATTTAGCACCGTGCTGTTGGTGTGAAAGTGGATCCGAACAAAACGCCAGCTCCAGCTGTGTATTCCAACTTTAATTTCCACCCGAGACTCTTCTGGAGTTAGTATGTTCTAGGAAAATTACAGTTTTACTTTACAGTTTTCATTTACACATTTATTAAAGTTCATTCTTGTGATGTGGTTGGAAACAGGACAGTTTTAAGCGACACAGAAGAGAAACTTCTCTACTCGGTGGCTTTTCACTGAATGTACGTGAAGATCTCACTGATTTTGTTGCGTGTCGGCGTCTTAAATGTCTGCGTGTGGCTTTGAATTCAACAAAATATTTTTTTTGTGACCGCTGACGTGAATGTGAATAAACCAAAGAACTCAAAATGCCAATTCTAGGGCAGGAAGTCTACAAGAAAGGAGAAAATTATCACACTGATACAAAGCCCACAAAGCAGAAAATGATGAATTACAGCTTTACTAAATATCAGAGGACAGAGCTTGAAGATAAATGTTATAATATTCATACAAGTTTGAGATTTTGTGTATCTGCGTCGTGATTGTTTCATGGGTGGCATGCAACAGCAATCGAGTTAACAGAAAACAAATCTCCTGATGCCTGGAGATGAAGGTGACGCTGGGGGGAAGGAGGGAAAGACGTCCTGGTTGGACTTTAGCTTCCCAGACTCGACACAGAAACTCAACGTCGGGGAGATGTCGAACAGGATGTCTGAAGCACGAGGCGCCAACGGCAGGAAATTATGTTGGATCCCGATGAGCATCCCCGGGATCTTTGTTAAAACCCTTTTTTATTTGAGGTCAAAAGTCGGGATCTTAGCAACAAAAGGCTACGTCTTAACTTTAACGTAACCGCGTTGAGATCCATTCTAAACTAAGCAGTGTGATTCCGGTTTGAGTTGTTTTCAGTCTGCGGCCTGTAAAACAACCGCTGCCATTGCCACATATCGAATTGGCTCACGAGTTCCACATGATAGCTGCTGTCTGCACGCGTGTCTCGCACAAGGATCGGTTCTGCTCAGCCTGCAGGAGGCGATGACATCCGAGCGTTGCGGCCAAATAGCCACTTTTTTCTTTCCTGTTCGTGTGAGGTCAGTTCAATAACGTTGGACACCATGAGCGTGTACTCACTGCAACACACTGCACGTCGCTCATGTGCACCGTTCATACAGCTGCAACGTTGAGTCATTCAGAACCATTTAGAGCCATTCATTGTATTTCAAGCTCACATTTGAAGATTATTGTACCGTCCTTGTTTATAATAGCGCTGTCGCCCTGCAGCACTGATGCTCATGAAACACGCCAGTGTCCACCTGCAGAGTCAAAGTTCTCCTGGGGGGAGAGTTTGTCGTCATCCCCTCCCAGTCTCACTTGTTTCTCAGCTTGGTGTTTCTGGGGGGGGGGTTTGTGGAGAGTGAAGCCTCGTGTGTCGTGTGGCCTGCAGGGTAGTTTGAGGCTCCCGTTTACGTGCAGGTAGACCGCAGAGCCGGCCGGAAAAAGGGTCCCTCTGTTGTGGGTGTGAATTAAGTGAATCGGTTACTCGCTCTGTTAGCCCCCGAATGGAGAGGCCACCCACGACCGCTGACCTACGACTCATCGGCTCTAATGGAGTTAGTTTAATGAGCTCCGTCCGGGATGAGTCGACGGGCGGCCTGCCCGCCCAAGAGCCGTCCGCCTGGCTCTGAAAAGACAAACGGCGATGGCTTCATTCATCAGGGTAAAAGTCACGCTGGCCTCCTCGTAACCCGATCCAAGAGGAAGGGCGGCGCGGGCGACTTTTTCTGGAAGCCGGCACCGCTTTGAATGACACGCTGCTCACTCCGTGGCTGCTGGGGTCATTCGTGCCAAACGGCATAGCTTTGTGCTAGATTCAAGCCCTCCGCTAAGTGGGTGCATAGTTGTGAAATACGTGAACTCTGTTGTTTTTTACACAGGTGATGGAAGAAACTAGTATTTTTAGCAGCTTTCTTTTACTTTCTCTCACAAACCGAATCGGGATAACGAGACAGTCCTCCTGTTGCTGGTGTTTTTACAATCATCCAAACTGTAAAACAGCGAGTAAGTTCATCTTATAGCTTTGGATTTTACCCAAATATACTGTAGGTCCATATAAGAACACTTCTTTCCTAGTGCAAATAGTCTGTGGCTAATTTTATTGCCTAATACTGAAACATTCGTTTGTTCAAATTTAGCCAAAAGTTTGCGCAGCATGCTTTAATCATTATTTCTTCTCACCAATAACATACATTATCAAAATGAAACACGCATGTCTAATGTCTGTGAACTTTTACCTTCATGTTTTTATGTGAATCAAAATCTTAAAGATGCTGCAGATGGTTTGTAAAAATATTTCCATTAATCCTCAAATGTTGCATTCTGCACCAATTTCATAAAATGTATGGATTGGAAAATATTTTTTAAATCAATGTCAAGATATATATTTCTATACACTATTTTTGTTTCTTACCACCCTGAATTATTTCTAATCAACTCCTCATTTAAAAAGAAAAAAAAAAAGAAGAAGAAAGCTGAAACTACATTGGTAAACTGTCCCCGTATTGTTGCTTGCCACTATAATTAGATTGTTGCTGTTGTGTCCCGTTCCTTGAGTCACTCAGGAATCCACCAATTAAGCGTGCAGGCAGATGTGCTGTGGTGATTTCATAGATACACAAGGAAAACACAGGAATGATAAACATTTCTTAACCCGAAGAGTGTTTTGAGTGAAAGGTAAATATGGCCTAATGTTGTTGCTATGGTAACCGTACAGTATATTCCTCCCCGAGGCTATTTATTTTATGAGTCACGGGAGTAAGTTGGCCTCACCGGTAGGAAAACTCCAAAACCTAAATGAAAGAGCGAGCAGCGGCAATGGAAAGTAAAAAAAACAACCACTAAAAACCCTCCTGGTATCCGGTCCCGCAGAAAAGGGTGACTGATGGTTCATTTGTTCTCATTGATACTCGCCTCGGGCCTCTGGAGGAATGGTGTTCTCTTGCATCAGGCGGCCCTCGGGGTAATTCTGATTGTCAGTTAGTTTGACAAAGCCCGAGCGCCCCCACACACGCCATCATGCAGCAGATGATGGCTGGCAGGGTGAGAGACCGCAAGACAACCCCCCCCCCCCCCCTCCCCCTAGAGATGTCTCTCTGTCCCTCAAACGTGGCTGTTTGTGTGAGATTCAATGGGGGGAAAAAGTAATTCTACCGTGAGAGACGGCGTCACTCGTCTTTTCAAGAGGAGGGGCCGTGCTCGCAACGTCTACCTGAGCAAGAAAATGAAGAAGCACATCGCTATTAACCACGTCCCCCCCCACCCCCCCCCCCACCTCCCCTCCACCCGACATGTCGCACCTTGCACGTCTGGAGATAAGAGAAGATAAGATACGGAGTCCCGCGGCAGGGAAATTTGAAAACATGGATCATAAAAAGAAAAAGCGCAATAAAGAACACCAGTAAAAACAGTAAAGAATCCGATTCTTTTCACGACAGACTTTTATAATCTGCAGTAAACATTATGTCCTGCTTAACATTGTTTGCATCACCAGAGCTTTAGACTGACGTGACGCTATGAGAGTTTCTCCCCAGCCAATAACCGGCAAGACATTTCACACAAATATCGTGTTGCATCATAATTTTCAGCTTCTTCCTCACACGTGCTCACTGGGGGTATCGGATGATCTTCTTTAACACAAATGTTCACGTTACATTTAAGGGTTACATTTGTGATTTTGAGGCGTACCTGCCTCAGCCTGTCCTCGGCTTCTAGGGAACAATGATAACTCTTGTTTTTCCTTCTGGCATCTAGTCAAAGGAAACCTCAAGAGGGTTAATAGCATGTAATCAAAGGACATCCTTTCCCTTTCTCCCCCCCCGACTGCCCTCCTGTTATTTATTTGTAAATTTCGGTTTTATTCTTATCAGACTGGGAGGATGTTTCCAACAGATTGTTACCTTTGGTTGAGAAATGGGGCCTCTGCTGGCATTCGGTTGTGATTTAAGGCAGATGTGTGAAAGAGAGGATGCACGTTCTGCAGCAATCTGAATATGCAGCTCGTGGATTCAGAATTCAACAGCTAACCAGCTTTCCCACAAGAGGACTCACGCACCCTGTTGACAACTCGGGGCAAACGCAACAAATTCCATCCAACTGGATTACGTCGGCGTTAAGTGAAAACAGCAAAAGGAATGTGTCGTAAAGCGCACGTGAAATACAACACCCGAATATGACGGAAACCACCACCTGAGGATGGTAAATTTAGATTTAACGAGGGCAGTTTCATTACTCGCTGATGGCAGTTGGGTCCCGCGGCGCTGAGGAAACGCAGCCGAGCTCGGTCTCCATGCGCCCCCCCCCCACCCTCCCCCGGTAAACACACAGCGTGGAACGCGACGAGGACCAAAGAGGGGGGGGGGGGGCACCCACGTTTGGACTCAAGATGAACTTTCTGCCCCTGGTTTGCTGTTATCTAACTTCTGCTTAGTTGAGCTGAACTTCGGTGACCCCGGGGTCGTCTCACCTTCTCCTGCTGATAAGAACCCGGCTGTTTATTCATTTTTTTATGGATTACGGCCGCTGACGTTTAATTGAAGGATTTTTACAGCCGCGGACGCCAGATCAGATACGGCTTTCGATGCTTTGATTTCTCTCTTCACAGGAAAATCATTTGGCGAGACTCCGCTGTCCTTACTTGGCTGGTGTTGAGTCTATGGGACTAGTCTTTGGGAATTCTGCTGGAATTCAAGACATTTTTACTCGCAGTCCACTTTTTTTTCTGTTGAATAAAACGGTGCAGAGGCCTTTCTTATCTACCTCAAGACTATATAAGGTGATGCATGGAAATGGTTAAAAATTATACATTTTTGGACCAAATAAGACCTTCTCATCTTCTTTATAGATGAGGTCTTTCGGAGAACAATGGTCATTTTTAAAAACTTTGACTTGGATGATTACCTCCATACAAATACATAGTTGACAGCAGATGTTTGAGAGCGGGCTGAATTTGGTGTTGGCAGATACTCTGCGTTGCTATTAAGGCGGCCCATCCCATAATTTACTTTACTTGTAATTGTATCTGTTTATTGCTGTTTGTGTTAGTCAGCATTGTTCCTGAGGGGAACCACTGCAAATGATTTCATATCCACAAAATGTAGTTTCTGTCGTCTCTGGGCGTCTTTGGCCAGATATTAAGTTGTCTTCTGTTGTGTTTCTCAAATACCGTTTTTATTTTCACCAAAACGTCTCAAAGCTTGTCTGCACCGCAGTAGTGAAAGTAGCAAATATTTGTGCGGCAGCTTCAAGCGCGAGACGGGTTTGTCTGAACTATCACCTCGTGGTGGAATCGAGGACTCCCATTTCCCTTTTGCTGGATTTTGTTTCTGTCTTTGCTTTGACATCTTGTGGCAAACGCTACCCAAATGTATTGTTTAAAGTCTCGGTCCACTGAGCGTGTGATACATCTGCACCTTTTATGACCAATCAAACCTCTTGACACCTCCGAGGCTCTGCAGCCGCTGTTTTTTCTCGCTGCAATTTTCCATATCCCTCCAGCATATTATTATGGTCACACCATCTCCAAATAAGTTCACTCCTGCTTCAGTGGAAGGTAAATAAAGCGAGTGTGTTTGTAGAAATGCACATGTGTTTGACGTTAAGCAAGTTTGACTGTCGCCTTAGATGCTTGTCTGATCCTTCGCATGATTTAGTGGCTCCAAAACGAAGATTCCTCTGTTCGATTGGTATAAACTCTATACAGATATTGATCGGTGTGCAGGTTCAATCTGCTGTCTGTCGGTCATACATCTAGAGCAGGGAGCTGTGACGTCACAGAGAGAACACTGTTGTTACCCAGCGGTAAGTTTTTAAAAAAGTGGCTTTTCTTTTTTCTTTCCAGGTTTTGTTATTGAGCGCCGTGTTCATTGAGCTGAGCCTGAGGCTGCAATGGATGACGGGACATTTCGGCATGCGTGCGCGGTGCGGGTGTGGACGCTGACGCAATTATACGAGAAGGGTGGCTAATCGGGTTTGATGCCTGTGAAGGGAAGAATAACAAAAGCTTCTGTAATTGTCGGCAATTTTCAAAATATTCATCTTCACTTTTGAACTTTGGCCTTTCCTGAATTTGTTCGGAAAGTTTAAGTTTAAAAACATTTTATTTACCGTCCAATAGCATGCTGGTATTGACTGAAGGGTAAAAATACTTCCTTGGGTTGTGTGACCCTAAAATATGAGAGGAAAGGATCATTGTACACAAAGTGTAGATCCTGTTTGCTTGGTGTTAGAAAGCTTTGGTGCCGCCGATCAAGTGTTCAACCACCAGGTTCGGAATGAAAGAACAAAGCGGCAAAAAAAGATTCAAAAAACCCTGAAAAAGTTTTTAGCATGTAAATAACCGGAGTTGGTGACCGTAAATGTAGACGACAAAATTCTAGAGAACCCAGTAGTTGACTTTTAAGTTGTGCAGGGAAGGACTGGATCTCATTAAACCTTCTACATAGAAGAGCAAAGCAGACCCACAGTCATCCAGTCAGATGCTTGTCTCTCCCATGAATGCAAAGCGGTATGACGAAAAAAAAAAGGAAGAAAAATGTGTAAGTGATTGTGCAACGCAGCCAGATCTTTCTTTGCATGGTTCTCCGCTAGGTATGCAGAATCCCTCACTACAACACGCCATCTGTAACCCGTGTGTTCGGTCGGACTCTGGTCATCCACCTGTGGAACAGATTGTTCAGCCACGAGGAATGCCGGCCTGCAGAAAACCTCCGCTGATGCTCTGCGTAGCGCGAGAGATGGCGAGAATGTGCTTTCGCCCGGTCTTCTGACCACGAAGCCGCACAGCTCAAGTTCAACAGCATCGCATGTTGATCACGAGATTCTAGACGGCCCCCGACAACAAAATAATTTGCGGTCTTCTATTCAATTACAATGCAGCCAAATGAAAAAGTCATTTTTTTTTGTTTTCGTTTGGCTTGCACGCACTATTTCCACTGGACACTTTTCAAATGTGGCGATTCCAACATGTCTCTCAGATCTAAAGGCTCGGAATGTGTCCTGCAGAACTAATAGATATGTAAATGTATACAGGTTAAAGCCAGTTTATAAGAACACTGCTGCAGTATTTGGCAGAGCTAATAATAATTGTTCAGTCACGTAAAGTTAAGCATAAATATGAAGACATCTGTTCTGACTGGATCAAGGACGGGAATATTCCGCATGTAGTGCTGAAAAAGATTTAGTTGATCCAAGTTTAAGTAATTGTCTGTGATTTAAATATCATTGTAGAATTATATATTTTTTGTTTGGTACTGCTGGTTCAACCAACATTTGAACACTTTTTGACAGCTTCCACTTTCAGACTCCATAAACGTTTATGCCTCACTTTTAAACACGCAATTAAAGTTTCAAGCATGTTTAATGCTTGTCGCTCCTCTGAGGCTCGAGGGTGTCTGATGACACTCGAGAGTGTCTGCACCACCAAAGTGTCATCACGCCGCCGTCAGACCCTACAAAGGATCCAAACGTTTCCACAGAGAAAACCCCCTCAAAACGATTAAACAGAACCCTTAGTTTGGAACGTTGAGACTCGCCCTACGTGCAAGTAACCACCAACACGCTACCGCGAGTCGTACCGAGACACTGAAGCATGCAGGTATACACCCGTGGGCATAGTAAGATTATTATAGTGTAGATTTATATAAATGTGACAGTTTTTCAGTAGTATATTTGAATGACCCCACTATTGTGCAGATCGCGAGACAGAAGCAGCCGCTTACATTTTCACAACAAAGTCATACACAACGGCGTCTAGCGAGCTCTGTTTTATTTTTGTTTTTTTCCTTGGTTTGAATGCAGAAAACAATCCCTACAAAAGATGAATACGGCACGGAGTCCAGTAGCGTCCCATGTTTCTTTTTTCACTCGCAAGTTCAACCACAACTGCCAAGCGAGTTGTATGTTGAGCTTCCCAAGTTAGAAAAAAACGACCACGAGCTCCCGTTGACGGCAGCATCGAGCATTAACGCACAGAACACGTGGCCCTGAGTTGAAGGACGCCTCCAAAGACTGGACGACAAGCTCCGCCCCTCATGACGGAGGGTAAAGTTGGCCTTGCGGTATGAAGCTGCCATTGGTGAAGATGAACTTGTGCGTGATCTAAAGACAAAAAGCTTTAGATGTATAAGGGGAAAGATGACATCTGCTTTTGTCATTTCCTTATCTTTAATTAAGCACCGAGACCACCCCCCCCTCCTCCCGCCCTCTGATCTCAACACTCTCTTTGTCGTTGTAAACTGACTACTGCCTCTTTTGTTTGAGCGCAGAGAAGCTTCCCTATTGATCCTGCAGTTGATAACAGCCATGTGGTTTGGATTATAAATGAGTTGCTCTGTTTCCATATTTACTACGCAGCGTAAACCGTGTAAACAGTTAAAATCTCAAGAAGACTTATGCATTTTGTCAATGCTGCAGAGTGCAAATGGGTTCAGGAAAGCATGTGTCTATCACATTTATCAAGGTGTGTTTGAATTCCTATTCCACAATAGGCAGATACACGGTATGGGAAAAGTACAAAAAGAGCATTGCAAGTCTCCTCGAGTATAATCACCTGCGATTATGACAAGAATGCAATAATTTGTTTTAACTCTGTGTGGCACACACATCATTTGGGGGGAAAAAGTCCCCTGCAGCAGGCTGCTTGTTTCCAGCCCAACATACCGTACAAACGCAAAAACAGGCAGGCAGGAAGGAATGTTTTGAGAACATCACCTAGCCCAAGGAGACGAGTGAAGGTATAATGGGTGCAATTGTAACCTGACGAGCCGGAGGCAAAGCTTAAACACTTTACGAGGGGATGGAGGAGCGGATCACTTCAATCAGCTGTCTATCTATCCTCAATAGGTGACTGTCACACTGACACACAGAAAGTATAAAAATGTTAAATTTTACTTTAACTTAAAGGCTGCATATTTAAACTATTCCATATGAATGATATGTCAACCTACCTTGCCCTCTCTATTCATGCAGTACAATAGGTTACAATTAAGGTACAATAGTCCTCTACCTCTGCAGAAGCTCTCGCTTCCCTCCACCGACTCAAGCAGACTGCCGAGGATCCCTGAAATGTATTCCAGTTTGTGTCCAATTCCCACAGTGAGGTGAAGAACAATCTTTGAGTCGGTTATCCCAAACGGTCCTTTCTGGCTCTTGCACTTGTTTGGAAATTGTTGAAAAAGTAAGTGAGAAGAGTCCCAGAGGCTGCAGGAGCCGTGTGCCTGCCGAGTGCCGCAGGGTCCTAGTGCCCGATCCTCCAAAGGCTCATCGCTCGCATAAATCTGAAGGTATGGGAGTTAATCATCTACCACATTTCAACAGAATGGTTGAGTTAGACGAATATTGTAATTTCTCTTCTAAAAAAACTGTGGGTGTATTATAATAAATACAGCTTTTATTTAAATACAATAAAACTAGTACATACAACTTTTTTTTGTTTCTTATTCTAACTTAATCTACTGCTCTTGATCCCATTATCTTCTTTTCCCAAATAATTCCACTCATCAGAAACCTACCAAGGATTTCTCATTCTACTTTTGGCTGATAATCTAGTTGTTGCTGGTAAAACTGTGAACTGGAATAATATATATTTATTTTCTCTAAAGTTCTTGGATGCTGCAAAACTGGGAATTCATTCATACATTTCCATTGCTTTGCAGGTGTTTGTATTCCCCCAGATGTTAAATTGGTGAAATTCTTTTTTTAAACTGACGTAATTGTCGACACCCCCTCTGGTGCAGGATAGTGTTACAGAGTGCACCAGTATATGAAACACTGAGGGTTCGTGGGAGTGAATGGCGCTAATGTTCCAAGAGAAGATTTGATCTCAGAGGTGAGCCGGCATAAACTAATCCAGGTGTGGAAAAAGTACATATGCGGTAGTGAGGGTCTTTCCTGGCTCCCCCAACAACAAGTGTTGCAAGTCTCTTTCTTAAAAGGGGGGGTCGGCAGGATGTATTCCTGTCCTTACCAGCCGCCGCACATCTGGATCCTTTTATACGAACACATGGACGCGAAATCTGCTTATCATATTACACAAAGGATTACACTCCGGCTTCGATAACTGCTCTGAACTCGTCACGGACGGTATTTTCGAGAGTGGTCACGGGCACGTTTTTAAAACTCTGCCCCTCGGGTCCTCTGATGGCTGTTCAGCTGCTACGTGTGGCTCCACGCTGCATAATGGATTAGACTCGTCGTTTCACAACATTACAGTTCGATTTGTCTTTTGGGAATCTGAATGCAGCAGACGGCCCGTGGGAGAAGAGTTGCGTCTGGGGGCTTCGTCCCGCTTTCTGTGAAAGTCATTTTGCGGGAGCCTGGTTCGGATAACTCGGGCCAGACCTCCTGGGGTGTTCGTCACAGGTTTGCGGCGTCTTTAGACGTGGCCGGGGAGAAGAGAACGTGGCCCGGGAATAAGCGTGACCGAGGAGGAAACAAAAGTCACGCGTGTTCGTTTTTCGGGGAAAGGCGGCATTCGATGTTTCCAGAGTTCGGATGTCAATTTGTAGCCACTGAAACTCAATTTGTGTTGTGCATTTAACAGGTTGCTGAAGGTAGAATGATGAATTGTGTTGCCCGTCCTTGACCACGGATAACAGTGCATTTGTATTTTAATGGGTTTTAGGAGCCTTTCTTATTCTATTTGGCTGAAAGGCCACAATGGGATACACTCAACATTGTAACGTGTGCATGACAGAAAGAACATTGTGGCTCATGTTTACGGTTGCTAATGTGAGGAGATGGTTGTCGGACGTCCGCCATCATGGAATTTGACTTCCATTCTGATAGCAAAATTTAAAATCAAGCGAACATGAGAAAAAGAGGATTCAACCTAAGCACCATTTGAACCCTGTCTTGCGTTCCTTGATTTGAGGAACAAATGGAACAATATCAAGTTTGAATCTCGGTTGCTGTCAACCGGCGAGCCGAAAAGCAACCGAAAATAGAAGCAACAACAATCGCCGCGCCTTCGCAATGACTATCTTTGTGACATGCTCTTGGCAGAAATATAAAGAACTGGAAATATACGAGGTATTAAACTAACACATCCCCTCCAAAACCCCACCGGGGCGTCGCTTAATACGATGCAAAAGACGGGTTACATGTACGGTGTTTCCTGAGGGAGCACCGATCAGTTGGTCTGTTTGTAGAAGCAACACTGTAACTCCAAATGACTCCGAAGAGAGGAAATGTGCGCGCTATGGCGACGCACATCTGGCCTTCATCAGCCGCATCAAGCCAGAACCCGGCGTTTGAAAACGACAGCGGACTTCGTGGGACTGAGCAGGAAGCATGGGGCTTCATCTTCCTTCTATAAAACATTCACATTTCATTACCGCGGAGACACAGCAGAAAGCGCGCGGGTTCGTCTCCACGGCCGGCTTCAGCTTTCCTCGTCAACAGCGGTCGCGTTGCACTTTGTTTCGGGGGCCCCGTCGCGGAGGGCCCCGGGACGAGGTCACATTCAGTTAAACGGGTCATATGCGACTTTGTTCTGAGACTGAAAACCTCAAAAGTGCCTGTGCTGAAATTTAATTAAATTCAAATTTAATAAAGAACTGGGTAATTCCACGTTTCCCTCAGTCAGTATTCAGGCCGTTGTTCTCGACCGGAGTGTAGCACTTTTAACTTTTATTGAGTAAACTCATTAGTGAGCGGTGGTGAATATTATTAAGCAAATACATCATAATTACAACAACTACTCTAACATGGGAAATCACCCAATGATTACCGTGTGTTCTCCTCCTGTAACGGCGCCACTAAAATCCTCTCTGCCTGTTAACCGTAACTGCCTCACACGTTGATCGGGTGCCTCCAAAGAACTGTTATTGTAATATTGCTTTAAAAGTAATATAACATTGCAGGGTAGTATGGGGCGCCGTTTGTAAAATGTTGCACGTTCTAAAATCCTGCGCAGTTTTGCCACATTTAGTATTATCATATGAACAAAAAAGCACGACAATGTTCATATGTCACTTTTTCAAACATTGCATGCAATGACTTTTTCAAGGATAATGTTTGGCAGCAAACACAAAGTTGTTAAATAATATAAATGTTAAATATAAATTTAAATGTAAATCTTAAATCAAAATGTAAATTTTAAATGTTATATCTAAATGTTAAATATAAATGTTAAATATAAATGTAAATGCTACATATCAGACTTGACGTTTGAACGTTCAGGTGTTCGGCCTTCTTCCTCTATCCGCGCATGACTGCCGACTCGGTGTCTGACTCTTGACCTCAGGTTTGTTTAATCTGGTTTTAGTTCAAACATTAATCTTAATCTCCGCGCCTGCGTCTTTCAGCAACCAAACTACAACAAAATAAGAGGAAACCCACATAAAAGGTACGCCAGTTCCTTTTTGAGGGCTTATCTCAAGCAAATTGAGCACCTGACCTCAGAAGTGATCTGAAGGATCTCTGCTCGGCCCACCGGCCCAAACCAGGCTAAGCATGTGGCCTGTGACCTCCAGTCCACACAGCCCAGATTAGCCCGGGGCCACCAGGCAGATAGCCTTTCAGAGAAAAAGGCTCCCCAAGTCAGGAGGACAATGGCTGTATTGTCTTTGACAGAGAGGACCATTTCTGTATTGGTTTCCATTTCTTCTCCCAACAGAAGAATTCAAAAAATGTCACCGCCGTTCCTGTAATTTCACGTCAGCCTGTTGGAGTCTTCGCTGCCTTGGAGGCTCATTGTTCTCAACCAGAAAAGATTCATCTGAGCCCACATCTGCACCTGAAACCGCTGCTGTTTAAACGTGTTCAGAACCGACTTTGCTTCCAGCTCGGCCTCGTCTGTGTCCGAAACATGGCAGGATTCTCTGCACATCTGTGTTTACAGCTGTGTGATGATGATGATGATGAGGGGATCTATTCTCTCAAGTTAGTGTTTGTTTACAATGGCTTCGGTGTGTGTGTGTGTGTGTGTGTGTGTGAGAGTGGTGGGAGGTTGTGTCGTTCTGTGAGGACTGATGTGCCGATGGTTCCGGCGCTCACACCGAGACAGTATTTCATTCACTTCCTCCCGATCCCTTTTTTTAAAAGCGGTGTAAAAGCATTTTTTGTACTGCAGTGCTTTTCAGCAGCCAACTAAGGTTTTTGCATGGGACCAAGAAGCGGTTTCAAGTGTAATATTAAGTATAGATTAAATTAAAAAAGATTACATAGGAATTGATTAGTCTTCAAGCAAGTTCAAACTAATGTCTGGTCAAAGAATACCAGTCTAGAGTACAACTAAGTAAATAAGTTAACAATCAGAATTGTTCCATTTGAAGCTGATGGCATAAAACTAAATGAAAGAAACACATTTATGGTCCTTTTCAACTTCTGCCAGCTGCATTTTGACTGAACACAGACACATTCCCAGTCCCGGCCGGCGTGTGCATGACGACGCCAGGCGATGTACGTCAGTCAAAGTGTCCTTCCGGCCACAATAATGGTTTGTGATATAATCGTCCATTGTTGACGGGGCATTACATCTCACCCCCCCTCCCCCTTCCCCCCCGGCGATGCCCCGCGGCACAGAGCCGCTGCCCTGCAGTTTTTGGGCTGAAGGGAAAGTGGAAAACTCTGTTTGACAGAGGAGTCTGCTGTCAGATCCATGAATGTTTGTCCCTCATCCATTTGGAATGTTTCCCCGTATGAAACGTGCTTCTGGTAAATCCTGTTGATTGTTCCATGCCGTTTCCTCTCATGGCTACAGACATCTTTGTTTGTAAAAGCTCAAGCACCCATTTTCTAGAGAGCAACCCCCTGGGTTTCCATCTCAATTAAGTTGTCAAATGTCGTTCCTTCCTCCTGGCTCTTTCCATGATACGTTTCTTTGTGATGAATATAGTATTTATAGTATCATGTATTCCTCCATCTTTTAATCTATACATTTCAGATTTACATTTATCCATTTTCAACCACCTACTTAGCCAGATTGGAAACACGTTGCTGTTTCTAAACGCAACAACGCTTTTATAATCCTTTCAAGTGGTGAAGAAATGCATCGGGCCGCAGACACACAACCTCTGCGAGGACGTCTCGCGTGGCTTACGAGGCCATAACACGGATTATGAAACAACAGCAACACATCGCCGCGAGTCTTTGATCTGTTCCAAACGCCTGTACTTGACACCGATGTCAGCTATGAGCCTATTTATTAGCCTGACAGCAAAATA